AATTTTAGTATTCTTTTTTCTATTTCTGTGAAGAATGTCATTGGGATTCTGATTGGGATTGCATTGAATCTGTAGATTGCTTTAGGTAATATAGACATTTTAACTATGTTTATTCTTCCAATCCACTATAGGGTTATATTTTTATATGATCTAAATTTATCTTGTCTGCCCAAATAAAACTTTCTGACATTTCCTCATGAATAATTAATAATGTTCCCATAAAAAGGTGTTTTTAGTATTCAAACTACTAAATATTCAATATAATTTCTATATAAGTATATGAATGATTTATACAATTCAAAAGCTTGCAGAATGCAAAAAATTAAAGTGATAAATGAAACTAGAGACAATTAAAACATTTTCCCTTTGCCATAACATTTACCTTAATGGGCCCAAGATAGGAAGATCCTTTAATTGTTGCAAACACGATCTGAGACTCTTCTAACTGAGCTAATATGTCATCTGTAGATGAAATTATTAGGGTAGAGTAAGTCTCTGTTTGATGAAGAACTAAATGTAAAGGAGTAGTGTTCCAAAGGTCAACAATCTTAGATAGCGTATTTTCAAGAGCAGCTTCATTAGTTGCTGAGGTTGATATTCCGTTGATTTCATCTTCGTACTGAAACATCTAAAATGAAAAAATTATTTTTTAATATCCAGTGGAGCATACAATTCTCGATACATCTAAAATAGAAGATTTAAATGAACGTGTTGAAGGTGCATCAGAAGTGTTGAAGATCTGATTCCAGTTAGGTTTACATGCTAACCAGAGACTTCATGGCCTAAGCTTCATGACATAGCCCTTTTCGGTTTTTGATCATCCTATTCACATTCTTCATGCTCAGTGAAAATTTATAACCACAATGCTTATTTCTCTGACTCTAGTCAGTGTAAAGAATAGTTAACAGCACCTTCTGTTTATGGGCAGATGGTATTATTTCCTTCAGCTTTGTTTTCTCTGCACTAATACCAACCACTTAATTCACTTTGTGACATGCTTTCACTTTCCATGATAATTCTTGGGATGTAATCATCTGAGAGAATGTAACTCTAATGGACACAGCTTTCCATGGCTTCGCTTTCTTTGTCACAGCTCCATGAGGGTAAGTGTCTCAGAATACATTAGTGGAATATGTATAGGCCTTCTTTCCATGTACACTGACTGCCAATTCCCATAGGACAAGATCCTGATAGAAGATCTCCAAATTCACTTACTGTAATAGAGATACTCAGAGTGCTTCTCATATCCACATCTTAGAATTAACTAACTGGGCTGATTGTTTTTATCCCCCCAAAAAAAGAATCTAACACTGTTCCCATATGTCATCTCCATGGGGTTAAAAAGTGATGCCTAATCCCTATGGTTTGGTAATGCAGCTCAGTGGGGACTATGAACAAATATGGCTAGTTTTCATCATCTCTCTTATGGGTCTGCCAAAGATGGGTGTAAGAATGGTGGAATCAATTGACTGCCTATGGTGTTAAGTAACAGCTTTGGGAAAGAGGTCTGCCTTTTGACATAGATTATTCAGTCAAAGGCAGATAAGGCACCACAGGACCATCAAGTTTCTATGCTGAATAAAGAACTCTCTGCCTAATGATGACATTCTGAAATTGCTAAAACTAAATCCAGACACTGACAATGTGTAAAGCAAAATTTCAACCTAGGGAATCTGGCCCTTTCAAGTCTTTATGGTCAAAGTTTGGGACCTGAATGACAAATGGTCATATCTTCCAATTGACTTGGTAATATCTGGCAGGTTTCACATGCATCTTAATGCCCATATTTACTTATCTGCCTCTATTACAAAGCACATGGCTTTCTAAAGTGAAAGTGGTCAACTATAAAGTAATTATGTTCATCTTAGACATACTATTGACCTCTTCCTCTTAACTTACTTTATGACATGCTTTTCACGTCACAGGCTTCTCAGAGCCTGCAAAGCATTTTGGACAGAATGGTTGTCAAATAACGTCATAATTTATTCATTTGATAGGATCACTAATTGTCTTCTATCAGAGCCTGTTCTGGACAGTCTTGCAGCATGACCACCATCTCTGAGTCAACCCTAAGATATGCATGCTTTAGTAAATGAAGGCTGAGTTTCTGGGCCAAATCCTGTCCATCTAGGCACTTACGTTATACTGAATAAGTTGTTGAATATCTACAGGATGATCAAAATCATCCAGGAACTCTTAGAGTTCACTTTAGATTACCAACTGATTGTCAGCTTATCCCCTCTGACTACTATAATAATTAACCTCAAGAAGAAGGGGTTCCTTTGATTCCTGGCTACAGTATTTTGGAGGCTGAAAACCTTGTTCATTTTTGTTCAGATGTTGAATTATCTTAATTTGGATCCTCCAAAAAGTGTGGGACTTCCTTTTTAAACTATCTATTCATGTTAGAAATGTAAGAGTAGTTCACTAGAATCCTTTGAGTTATTTACGTCACCAACCCCATGTAGGCCACCAGCTGATCCCCTCTATGCATATCTACCCTAACTTTTTTTTTTTTCCTTTTCAAAGTAATTTACTTTGGTTCACTTTTTTTTGTTGTTGTTGTTGTTCTTATTTAATCTTTATTTTAATTTTTGTTTATTGCAGTAACATTGGTTTATAACATTGTATAAATTTCAGGTGTACATCATTATACTTCTATTTCTGCATAGATTACATCATGTTCACCACTCGAATACCAATTACAACTCATCACCACACACACGTGCCGAATTATCCCTTTCGCCCTAACTTTCATTGCTTGTGCTACACTTGGCCAAATTTCACTCTTTACCTGACTTGCCCAGGAGTGATTCCAATAACCCGAGACTTTGAAAATGAAAATATCATTGAAATTGCATTAGATTTTTGGAATGTTGGTTTGAATAAACCTAGCTGTTGGCATTGACCTATATGTTCAGAAATTATCTAGATATTTTGCTGAATTCACTCTTGGCACATAGATCAGTTAGGAGGCTCTCATCGGGAAAGGATGAGAGATTTAGATGGGATGAGGAGTGAGAGAGCAAGAGAACGTACAAAGATTATTTCCTGATTTTTATTTATTTATTTTTTTGTGTGAGGAGATCAGCCCTTTGCTAACATCTGCCAATCCTCCTCCTTTTTTCGCTGAGAAAGACTGGCCCTGGGCTAACATCCATGCCCATCTTCCTCCACTTTCTATGGGACGCTGCCACAGCATGGCTTGCCAAGCAGTGCATCTGTGTGTGCGCGGGATCCGAACCGGCAAACCCTGGGCCGCCGCAGCGGAGCGCGCGCACTTAACTGCCTGCGCCACCGGGCCGGCCCCTATTTCCTGATTTTTAGCTTAAGCAATTAGAAAAAATGGAGGTGCCATTAACTGAGAGAGGGAAGAGAGAGGAAGAGTAGAATTTGGGAGATGGAGAATGAGAAGTGTGTTTTTGGACATATTAATTTTGAGATATCTCTTAGACATATAAGTGGAGATATTGAACAGGAAACTGGATATGTGAGTTCAGGAGGGAGGCTGAGGTTAGGGCTGGAGATATAAAACAATCTAATTTTAAAAATCAACTGAAGTTGTCTTTTAAAAATTCTTCTTTTTAAGTTCTTTTAAATTTTTTCCCATTTCCTCATTATAACAGATCATTTAGCAAAAAACTATAAAATACTATTTTTGATTACATTAGATATTGTCAACTGTGAAACATGGAACATAAATGAAGCTTATTGTAAGCTAGGCATGAAAATAGAAAAGTTTTAACCATGAAAATCATGGGAAAATTCTGTTTTTATAGCAAAACCTGCATGGCAAATCAAATAGTTGCTAATTATGTATTTTAAATATAATATCAAGTTATTGGTAGGACTATCCTAATACACTCAATATATTTTCATTTTATATAAAATGGAATATAGTAGTTTTGATTTTTCTATTCCTATAAAATGTATTCTCTATAAGAAGTAGCACTGCTAAATAATAAGACACTAATTTCATTGGTCACACATGAAAACCAGTATTACTGTTTTCTAGTCACCTAGATAATAATGGCATAATGAATGGCTTACCCAATATCTCCAATTAAACATAATTCCTATCATTTATCATCTTCTAATATACTCCTACTTTCCCAGACATTCTATAAACTTCTCCCTTTTCTAATTCCTATTCCTTGTAGATTTACTTGCCTACTTAAAATTGACCCCTCTGGTATTTCAACCTATTTTTTTTCAAACTATTTTTATTTACCTTGAGCGCTAGAAGATGCTCTACTGTACAGTTTTTATCAAGAGAAACTGACTTTCCAGTAATCTCCTGGAGGGCCTCCCAGTGCCTTGGCTTGAGACAGGGGTTTCCCAGAGCTATGATGATAGGCAGTTCTTGTTTAAAATCTGTCACTGATTGCTTAAGATGTGTCAACATGTCATTTTTAGGTAAACCTATAAATAGCAATGGGTTAGTAGGCTTATGATATCTTCATCGTATTTTTAAAACCAGAAAACAAATTTGCTACTTAATTTAATACTAGTTTATCAGTTATTAGTCTGCACTAAAATAATGAGTTCTATTAACATCACCATCCCATAAGAATCACCTATAAAATAAAGAGAAATAGTTATCAGGACTGGTGATTAAAACTCAAGACCATCAGAGTCAAGTTATCTTGGAAAATTTGATACTAGGGATAGCCAGCTACCACAGGGTTTGCAAGATTTTCACTGTCAAGACTGATATACAGATACACCCATACACATTCAAAAGACTGGGCTGTTAAATTCTGCTCAGTAAGGAAGAACATCAAGAGAAAAACTACTGTCACCATTATTTCATAAAGAAAATGTTTTAATCCTGAAATGTAGGAAAGGTAGGTAAAAACTTTGCCGTAGACCAGCATTAGTCTGTCCTCTGGCATTGACAAACCACTGAGGTCCAGGACTCAAAACCTATGCAGTTGAAGCTTCAACCCTTATAACCTTTTTATTCAACTTAGAAAAGGGGAGGGGCAAGGAAAGCCAAAGTTGGGGACTCAGGAGAACTGAAAACTACCCCATGTTCTTGAATATCCAATTTGTATAGTGGGGCTTCTATCATAAAGCCATGCTGCATAACAAAATTGTTTTTCAAGACCTGGTTAAATAAAAGGGCAAGAAAATAACTTTGGTTTCTGCAAGTCTATCCTTTGGCAAATAGTAAGATTTTATGTGGGAGTTGATGGTTAAAAGAAGGTGGTGTTTACTTGTTTCTTTATATACTGTTCTCTGAAACAGATATAGGACAAAATATTGAGAGAGAACGTGCAAACGAGTGTTATGTTAAAGCAGGTGGGACTATGGGTGATTTGTCCCCAGTTTTTCTCTTTTCTAGACTTTTTCTGGAGAGGAAAGTGTAGCTTGAAGGATAGCTGAGAGATAAGGGAGGAGTTTAAAAGGCAAAAACATTCTCTGCCAGGTGAAATAAAACTTTCCTTTTGGAAAGGTTATGATCTTAGAGAATTCTTACACGGGACAGCATCTCTGTGTTGGCAAGGCTTCAGATTTGACGATCAGCAGAAGGGAAACTTCTCAAAATGGCTTCTTAGCTGTTTCCTGCACTGCCCAAAGGATACTATAGGCATACACAGTGAGGATTTGGGAGAAGGTTCTGCAGGTGGGCCCTTATCATCAAAACATCTCTGGCCGTAAGAAGGGCCAGAATCATGGTGAAGTGTCTAGGGTTCTACCAAGGACACTAACTTTTAAAGCATTCAAAAATTGTTATTAATTACTTAAAAAAATTTTTTTGGCCAAGTTTTAATCTCTCTCTTGCCTCAGGAAACGATTCTTACCTATACTCCTGTACTGTCTTTCCAGATATTAATGGTCAGCCCTTGGGAACAGGTAAAGAAACAAGGCCAAAAAGAGGCCAATTTGTGCATAATCCTAGGTGGGAAAACTTGAGAAAGACACTTTTACCTTTTTCTAGTATAAAGATTATATGCATCCATTTTGAAACATTTCTGTGTACTGATTCTACATCAATACTGTCAAGAGTACTATTCCTCCATTCCCGAAAGAGTGTTCCCCACTCCTCTCGTGCATCCCATAATAGTTTCCTCAAGGTTAAGTCATATTCAATGTCAGAGATCTCAGACAGCACAATCTGTGTAATCTCTTCCATATTGAGAGAATGCATTTGAGATTGGGCACCATTGAAATAATCCTGATAGCTTGAATATGTTTTAGCTTTGTTAGCTAAACTTGCGGTTTCCTCTGTGAGAGTCCGGATCATTTCCATTGCGGTCGACACTTGTGTACCAGCAGATAACAGAACAGGAGCTTGTATCTAAAAAAATAGCAGTAAGACAGTCTGAGATCATAATGTTCGGAACTTAAGCATGTTTATTGAGCGTTTTAGTATGCAATCTAAGCTTTAACAAACATTATTTGCAATCTTCATCTGAAAAGATTGTCCTTAATTTATAATTATTTGTGTTTATTATGATTAATTTAAATTATGTAATTATTATTACCATCATATCTATAATTTATGCTGTAACTTCTGTATGTCAGGCACTGTGGTAAGTGACACATTACCTAACTTACTAAATCCACACACAATCTTGAAAGATAGTTAATATTTTTCACAATTTTTCAAGGAAGTTCTAAGGTTGTAAATCATATTCCCATCATCAAATGCTTACCATGGCAGTTCCAAGGTATGGCTCTATAGCTGCTTGGCTCCCAAACTCATTTCCTTTTTCTGATCCTGTCGAACTTGGTATTACTTTTATGATGCTTGTCACATGCTGCCTTGTATGCAAGTTTTACTATTGCACATGAAATTGTGGACATTTGCAACAATGATCTCCAAAGAGGGATATAGGTAAAATTTTGCCCTGATTTATCCCTTACTAAGTTATAAACTTCTTAAGATTAAGGATAGTTTCATTGATTTGTTTTTGTACATCTCATAAAACCTAGTTCAGTAAAACACAGAGGGCAGTTGTTTATTAAAAAGTTGTTGAAAGAATAAATGAATTTGGATCCTATCACCTTATTCTTTTAAAAAATCTAACGCATAGAATTGTGTAACATTGTGTTATGTGTAGTGTGATCATCCAGTAAACACTGATTAGAATCATAAACAATAAGCTGTATAAAATTGATAAACAGTATCTGTGATAATGAACAGGGCCTAATATATAAGCTGTGACAGTGATGCCTATTTAATGGATCTATAATAAAATTTTCCTTAGGCTTCTCCCATAATTTCCCATTCGTTAATATTTATTTATGTTTGTAAATGAGCTATCTTAAGAGAGGGAGGAAATACTTGCGGAAATAACCTTACTAGCTTAGATGGACTCCAGGTAAAGTTTTGGCCAATCCTATCAGCAGTCGTCAAATTGAGATCTTTACAGAGTGATCTCAGCCATGAGGTATATAAATTAAATAGTTTAAAAGGTTATATAATTGAAGCCAGAAGATGGAGTAAGTATGCCCCACCGTGTCTCTCGCAATGAATACGGCTGTAAACCCTTGACAGAGTACAGGGAGCAGCTGCTTGAGGAACCTGAGAGTAAATCCTAGAAGGCAGGTTGGGGAAGAAAATGGTAATTTGAAGTACCATCGAATTAGCAATGAGTTTACCATTTTTTCATTCAATATTCCCTGACCTAAGCTCAATGTACAGAACCTGGGAGTAAGTTTTAGGGGCACAGACAGTGAGAGCTCCAGAAGAACCGACTAGTCCTGACTTGAGGAGCAGGACAGGTTCTGACAAGGATTCTTTGCTTGCCCAAACCTAGTAGGGCTTATGAACCCTCTCCTAGGCTCATCTCTGCACTTCCTTGTAAAATCCAGTTTTACTAAGAACTCGCTAAGTCAGTTTAAGCAGAACCCGCACCCTCAGTGTCTGATCATCCTAGATAACTGATCAGGTTCCTCCTCCTCCACCGCCAGTGATGTCTGATCTCCCTGGCCTGTCTTCAGCAGGAAACCTGTTAGGTCGGTTTAGCCAGCACCCTTCTTACTCTGATGTGTCCTCAGTAATTTTCCATCCGCTGACTCCCTCCTTGCTCCTTGGCTATAAATTCCCACTTGTCCGTAGTGTATTTGGAACTGAGCCCAGTTCTATACTGATGTCTCTCTTCCCCTACTGCAAGAGTCCTGAATAAAAATCTGCTTTTACCACTTTGACTGCTGTGCAACTCTGGTTTTCTTTGACAGTTCCTAAATGCGCAGGGTGTAGAAGACCCCTCTTCTCTCTCTTTCTTTTTTCTGTTCTCTCACACCCCAGCCCTCAAGCATCTCCAAGGTGGTGTTAGCAGTTGGTGGCAATGAAAGAAAGCCTCAGGAGCTGAAACTCGAGGGAGGAGAATTTGACTCTCTGTTCTGGTGAGCTGTGGTTGCAGAGAGGGTCAGCTCTGTTGATGTTTTCTCTCTGTGTTCTGCTGGTTTGCCCCAGATGCAGGTGCAGTTATGGAAGTGGATGGCAGAGCACAGTAACAAGCCCCAGCTTTCTAACCAGAGGACTGAAAAGAAGAGTGCCAGGAATCTGGAAAATATTGGGAAGATTGTAGAGAGAAAGATACTCCGGAAAGCAACTGGTCCAGAAAGCGACTGCTATCAAGTTGTTTATGAACTCCCGGGCTCACCCCTCAGCTGCACACATGTGGATCTGATCCTATTCAGCATATCAGAGACTTTGAGACTAAACTAACAAACCACTAACAAGACTGACCACTAACAAGACTGACCACTGGATAGTGCATGCATGGTGTAAATCTGAATAGCACTGCAAAGACTTGGACAACTGAAATGATGATGGAACCACAGCCCAAAGAAGGTGGGTTGGAACTTGGGACCTGAACTTAGCTAGGTCAGCTGCCTTCCTAAACAAAAATATCAACATTCTGTGGGATTAAATAAGACACAGAGTCTTACAGCACAACATTTAATCCAAAATGTATAATATAAAATTACTCAGTATACAAAAATTTCAGGAAAACCTCGACTCATGGGAAAAGATAATCAACAGATACCAATGCCTAGATGACAGGTGTTAGAATTATCTGACAAAGAATTTAAAGCAGGTATTATAAAAATGCTGCAACAAAAAAATGGTGAATCCTCTTGAAACCAGTGGGAAAATAGAAAGTCTTAGCAAAGAAAAATAAAAAGACATAAAGAAGAACCAAATGGAAATTTTAGACCTGAGAAACACAATAAACAAAAATAAAAGCTCGCTGGATTTGGCTCAGTTGCAGGGTGGAGATGATAGAGGAAAGAATCAGTGAACTTGAAGACAGATGCCTACTCTGCATAGTTGAGACCTTCCCAGGAATTGTTCTTGGCTGAGAAAAGCTAAGTCATCCAAGATTACACCCCCTCTGCACTTCCATGGTGGGGGTATAAAGGCCAAGCCCTCTTGCCTCCATTCAGGGTAACTCTGCAGAGTCATCCCAGTTCTAGAGGTTCCCAGAGGATCCTTTGAGGCAATGACACTACATACAGTTCCACTTCTCTCTCTGTCCTATCTTGACTCCCTCAGTCTCTCGCATTGTTGCCACAAGCACTCTCCAGTAAACTTATTGCAGTACAGACCTCCATTTCAGTCAGTGTCTGACCTAGCACACTTAGCAAATATCAATAGGGTGATCTTAGACAAGTTACTGAACCTCTTTAAATCTCAGGGTTTTTTTTGGTTTTTTCTTTTTTCATGTAGGTAAAAGGGTAAAGCACCTAGCATAGTTACTACGCTTAGTAAAGGCTCAATAAATGTTAGGTGTTTATTTTAGAGTTTGCTCCTCATGATAGGTGAGTGAAGTTTTAACTATCATTTCTATTTGGCCCAGACTAAGGCCCAGAAAGGTGTCAGGGTTTTTAGCCCTTTTGATGCTTTGGGGCCCCTTCGGCAGTCTTTTGAAGCCTGTGGAAAAAGTCACCAACTTTGCTGTCGTTTGTTGTCTACATTCATTCATAATGGAAGAAAATGCTAAATTTCAGTTACAGGTTAGTGAAAATACACATGGTTACAGGTTAGTGAAAATACACGTGGAATCCAGGTTACGAATACTTGGATTAAATGATTTATCTAAGATTTCACAGAAAGAAAACACCTACATGCTTAGGCTTCCATGAGACTAAGATCAAGTTGATTTTTAATGAAAACCAAAAACTTACTTTGGCTTTTAAATTAGTAAGGTCACCCCGCAGACCAGTGATACACGTTTCCAGATTGTCTCTGAATTTAGCAATAGTAGCGTCTTTGTTTGTTTCACTTAACTTCATGGAAACTTTTAGTTGACCAAATTTGATAAGAAGGATTTTATATATGGCAACTTGCTCTTCTGAAATATGGATCTGGTAAGACCTTACAACAGAATACAGCTGAGTGATCGTGGAGCACTCTTTTTCTAATTTAGATATGTTTGAGGAAATCTCATTCAAAAAATTAAAATATTCTACAAATTCTTCTATTTCAGTGGCATCACATTCCAGCTTTCGCAATGATGATTCTACAACCTGAAATAATTAACATGTCAATTATAATTATATAATGATTTTTCACTATCTTAGAAGACTACTCTTTTTAATATCTCACTAACTTACATAATTATAATTTCAGAAAAGAAGACATCATCTAGACTATTGTTTAAATACTGGGGCATTAACATGATCAAATCCTTTTTATTGTTAACAGAAGGAACTTGAATGTACTTAACATAAAATAAATGATACTAAGACATAAAAGAAGTACTATTATGAATAATTGTGTTTCTAAGAAATAAATGTAATAGCAATAGCAAAGGTATGCCTGAAATGTGAACACTGCATAATAATTGCTACTACTTTTTGAGCATTTATCTGCTAGGTTCTTCATATACATATCTCGCTTTGTTCTGATAGCATGTTTTAGTTAACTGTTATTTTCTCCAGTTTGCATAGGAGGAAAGTGAGTCTCAGAGGGATTAATTAGCCTAAGATCAGAAATTTAGTGAGTTATAGAGCCATGATTCAAACCCAAATCGGATTCCAAATCCTCTTTGTATCCACTGCATGTATAACATCCACACTTTTTATATGTATGTGTATATCATTCCATGAAACTTTCAAAATAATTGCATTTCTATACTCAAATTACAATTTTATCATATTGTTTCCTCATGTTTCAAGGGCTCTTAATGAATACTCACGCATAATTTTGGAATCAATGTCAGCTCAATTTTCAGTTTCACAGTCCTGAATTAATTGCCTCTATATGTCTCTAATTTTTCAAACACTTTATTCTATTTGATTATAAAAGTAATAGATGCTCATGCAAAAATTGCAATACAAAAAAAGTTTAAAAAATAGAAAATACCTTTTATTCCATCACTCAGAGATAACTACTGTTAACCCATCAGAAATTTCACTGTGTTTTGAGTGTGTGTCTGTGCACGCTTGAACGCGGTCTGGCATACACATTTTTATCACAGGGTGTATATGAACAGGCTTTAAAATTAGAGAGGCTGGTGTTTGAATCTCAGCTCTATTATTTACTAACTGTGTCAACCTAAGCAGTTTGCTTCACTTGAATGAACTTAGTATCCTCATCTGTAGTTCTGAGGATCAAATAGAATAATGGTGCCGGCCACAGGTGATAGAAAATGATCAAAACAGAACACTGAGTAAACACAACTATCATAACTCCAACGACAAATCCCAATTAAATTCCAGAAAAAATATTTTAAAACATAGATCCATATCACAAAGAAAACTGGTAATTCCAATTTTGTGGAGTAGAGAGAGTAGAAAAAGGTGAAATATACCCAAACCTCCTTCATGTCACTAGTACCACATTGATACCAAAACCAGATAAGGATGGTAAAAGAGGAGAAAATCACAGGCCTGTTTCACTTACCAGCATAAGTGCAAAAATCCTAAAAATAATGTTTATGTATGTGCGTGCGCATGGTGGCAAGCTGAATCTATCAATCTGGATGTGAGATTAACCTTAGAAAGTCAATTAATGTAATTACCCACATGAAAAGATTAAAGGGAAACAACTTCATGATTATCTCATTAAATGTAGAATAAGCATTTGATAAAATTCATTCATGATTTAAAAAAACTATCAAATTAGGAACTCTCATCAAAATAAGAGAATTTCCTTAACCATATAAAGGGAAGCTGCTTGCAAAAGCCTCAGGAAATACAAACACACCTTGGGGCATGCCGCAGCCAGAGAGAGGATGACTAAACAAAACTTTCAGAACAGGTCCTTAAAAAATTATAGCTCAGAAACAACTTTCTGGAACTAAAAACCGTGATTCTTCTAATTGTAGAAATCTGGTTCATAGGAACTCACACGCATATAGTGTTCACTATGTGCCAGAAAGAGTTTAAGAGCTTTACAGTCGTTAACTCATTTAATTCTCACAACAACTCTAGGTTAGTTACTAAAATTATCCCCAATTTACAGATAAAGAAACTCAAGTACAGAAAGGATAAGGATTAACTAAGTCTTTCAAATCGTAAAAGGGAAAAGCCAGGATTAAAAAAAAAATCAATTTGCATTGAAGCATAACTTACATACAAGAAATGTTAATTGTACATTATGATGAATTTTAACACATTTATACACCTGGGTAATTACTTCCATAATCAAAATATAGAAAACTTTCATTGCCCAAAAATATCCCTTGTGCCCCATCCCAAACATTCTCCTCCTATCCCTGGCCTCAGAAAACCACCTATCTGCTTGTTGCTGCTATAGATTAAATTTGTATTTTTCAAGTTTCATATATATGGAATCATAGAGTGGGGCTCCTTTGTATTGGGCTTCTTTTGCTCAACATGGCTTTGAGATTCAAGTTGTGTGTAGCAGTAGTTCATTCCTTTTCATTGCTGAATAATATTCCAATGCATTAATATACCAATTTTTTTATCTGTTCACTTCTTGGCAGATGTTTGGATTGTTTCCAGGTTTTGGCACTTGTGAGTAAAGCTTCTATGACTATTTAAGTACAAGTCTTTGTGTGGAGTTATTTTTATTTCTTATAGGTAAATGATGTGGAGTGGGATTGCTGTGTCAAATGGTAAGTGAAAATTTAACTTTATAAGAAATTGCCAGTTTTCCAAAGTGACTGTACCATTTTGCATTCTCACCAGCAATGTATGAAAGTTCTAGTTCCTCCACATCCTAGTGAGCACTTGCTATTGTCAGTCTTTTTAATTTTAGCCACTTCAATGGATGTGTAGTGGGATCTCACTGTAGTTTTAATGTATGTTTCCCTGATTAGTATGATTTCCCTGATTCAGTATATTTTGTACCTACTGGCCATCTTCTTTTGTGAAGTGTCTGTTCAGATATTTTGCCCATTTTTTATTGGGTTGTTTATTATTTTTATTGAGTGCTTTGACTTGTAAAAGTTCTTTATCTATTCTGCATACAAGTCCCTTGTTAGCTATACATACAATCATGTGTCACTTAATGACGGAGATACGTTCTGAGAAATGTGTAAGGTAATTTTGTCTTTGTGCAAACATCACAGAGTGTACTGAAGGGGAACAAAATTTGCCACCCCAAAAGGTGTCTCTTTAACATGAGGATTATTTTAGACTGTTTCTTTTTAAGAAACAAAAGACTCAGAAAGTTTTTCTTGTTACCTCTCCCTTAACTGCCTAAAAGAATTCAGATAAAAAAACCTGTCTCGGGAAGTGACCTATCACCTTAGCATAACATGAACTAGGTGGTGGACAGGGAGGAGCCTAGAAAACCCTGTTTGTGGGGCTCCCCTCTGTGTTCTTCTGTTTCTGTGTGGTCAAATCATCACTTGTTCCTTTTCACCCATCTGTGAATTTCCTTCCTTCCCTTTGAAGTCCCTGACTCTCCCCACCCCCAACAACTTCTTCTGTCTTTAGCTGAGGATGGTATTTAAGGTGAGGGCTTTGGCCATTTTGGTGAGTTACTTGGTTTTCCTGGGTTTCTCCCATGTATACATGTTATTAAACTTTTTTTCTCCTGTTAATCTGTCTCATGTCGATTTAATTCTTAGATCAGCCAGAAGGATCTAGAAGGGTAGAAGTAAATTTCTTCCTCCCTTACAGTACTTATACAAACCTAGGTGGTATAGCCTTCTACACACCTAGGCTGTATGGTACTAATCTTATGGGACCACCATTGTATATGCAGTCCGTCGTTGACCAAAATGTCATTATGCGGCGCACGACTATTTCCAAAGATTTTTCTCTTTTTAAAGATGCTATTCCATTGTCTTCTTGTGTGCATAATTTTTTGGAAGTCTGTAATATATTTTTTCTGTTTCTCATCTTTCATTTGTCTTTTTTCTTAATGCTTTTAAGAGTTTCTCTTTATCATTGGTTTTCAGTAATTTGATTATGCTTTTGGTGTTGTTTTCTACATTTGGATTTCATTGAGCTTCTCAAATCTGTTGGTTTATAGTTTTCACCAGATTTGGAAATTATTTCATTTTTCTTCAGATATTTTGTCTGTCCTTCCCTCTCACCTCTCCTTGTGAAACTACAATTACGCATATGATAGACCTCTTGGTATTATTCCACAGGTCGCTGAAGCTATGTTTTTGTCTTGTTTCTTAGTATTTTTCCCTCTCTGTGCTTCTTTTGTGATAGATTGCATTGCTATTTCTTCAAGTTCAGATTTTTTTTCTGTAGTGTCTAATCTGCTATTAATCTCATGAAGTGGAATTTCCATTGAAGATATTGTATTTTTCATCTCTTTAAGTTCCATTTGGCTCTTTTTTATCTCTTCTATCTATTTGTTATGTTCATGTTTTAATTTAAATACTTGTACATAATTATATAAGCTGTTGTAATGTCTTTGTCTGATATTTCCATTTTCTTTGTCATTTCTAGGCCTGTTTCCATTGATTTCTTTTTTCTCCTAGTTGTGGTCACTTCTTCTTGGCATATTTAGTAATTTCTGATTGAAAGCCAGGCATTGTTAATGCTACATGTTATATGTCTGATCTTTGTTGTCTTTGTTTAACGAGTGCTATCCTTCATTTTTTTTTTTTTGAGGTATTTATTTGCAGATCAGTTTGATCTTTTTGAGGCCTATTTTTAATCTTTGGTAGAGTAGATTTGGAATGGCCTTCCCTTTAGAGATAGATCAGCTCCATTACTAAGGTGTAACCTTCTGGGATCTCCATGAATACCCTGAATAATCACTGAGACCCTTCACTCTGGCTGTTGGAACTTGACTTGTGCGAGTTCTGAAAACTGTTCTGCTTACAACTCCTGGTTGTTTTTGGCTCATCTTTGTGGACTTTCATGAATAGACATAGTTGGTAACTCTACTTGATAAAGAGTCATGGTACCTTCCATGCAGATTTCTGGGGATTTTTGTTTCTAGAGCTCCCTTCTTTATAGGACTCTGACCTGCAAATTTTAGCCATCTCAACTCAGTGAGGCCACTGGGCTCTATTCTGGCTCCTCTTCCCTCTTGCAGTCCAAAAACTGCCTCCAGGCAGAAATCCCTTCTCTCATTTGCTTCCCTTATCTCCAGGATCACAATCCTGTACTGCCTGTTATTCAGTATCTGAAAGTATTTCTTTCATATATTTGATTCAGTTTTCTAGTTGTTTATATCAGGAAATTAAGTCTAATCCTTGTTCCTCCATCATGGCTGAATCAGAGGTTTTGAACTTAGGCAGTCTCATACCACTATCAGTGCTTGTAAACATTATAGTCTGATTCACCTCTGCATGCAGAAGTGTACTTCTGCATAAGCTAAATCTAAATGGATGAAGATGACCTTTCTGGGAGTATGTATTATAAGTGCTACATAAGGATAGTTTTTAATAGAAAAGGCATACTGATATTTTAGCAATGATCTAGAACTAAAAGTATTAAGCTATCTCAGTGAAGATTAACAGTTGGTGGGGGGTAGGGGTGGGGAGTTAGATTGTCCCAACATCTCATTTTTGAAGGAGGGGACAATTAGGAAATGACACCATTCTGATTATCTCATTTTATTGGGGCAGTAAGTCAACAGATTTGGAAGGCTGGACAAGTAGATTTGTTTGTTATATTTGGTCACAAAGTCACCTGCTGTTTCTTGGGATTTAGATAATGTACTAACCAAAGCTATAGCTTTAGGGTAAATAGTAGGAAAAATTTGGTATCATATTCTGGTTCCCTTTTGTTACTTTCAGTGAAATCCTATGAGAGATGAACTTGTGCTAGAATAAGCTAGGCAGAGACTGAGGGAAATACATTTCTGATAAGAAAATTCTTCTCTCCTTTTTGCAGAGAGTTGACTTGAGAGTTCTTTAATTCAAAGGCTTGCAGAGTTGAGATAGCTAACTGTTTCTGTACTCTAAATTAAAGTAGTGTCTTCAAAGTAGCCTTAGCAGGAGATAAGACTAGAGCCTTTACCTTTAATCAAGCACCCTCACTGAAGGGTTCTCACTGGGACAACAGGATTGGTAGAAAGCTCACTGACAAAGACTATTAAGGGTATAACTTTTCCTCCAAAGTCTATGTTGCAAAAAGCATCAAATAAGTGATCATACTTTTAAGGGAGGTGGGCAAGTGTAAAGCAGCTAAAAGAGGCAGCAGCTAAAAGTAAAAAATTCTACAAATCATGTCTAGACTTAAGCATGGAATTAACCAGAAGCCAATAGAAAAAAAATTATATTTTTAAGAAGAAAGTCCAAGCCTAATCATCAGTGACATTTCCTAAAGCATACCCAGGTCCCCAAACTCATGCCAACAGGAAATGCATTGCTATGCCTCTTCAGGGTCCATCAAGTACAACCCTCCGATGCCTGGTTTGAATGAGGTCATTTAAATAGTCAACCCAGAGAATGATCCTACAGGGCTAAAGGTCATGGAGGATGAAAGATAAGGGAGATTTTCCCAGAGAACTGGCCCAGAGGCTACCAGACTGACTAACCAAAGAACTTACTCTACTGCCAAAGAAGGGAATTCTCATTATTTCTGTCCAGCAAGATTTGATATTTGCTCTAGACCACTCTAGATATTTGTCTCTCCATTTTCTCTTCCATAAGATGGGAGTTTCAATTATACTTATTCTGTTCCTTCTCTACCACTTTATATTGGTGAGTGGGGGCTTATGCCTTGTCTTTTATTTATCGTTGACCAGAACACTAAGTGCCACACTTGCACTTGATAGAGAGAACTGTACATGACCCAGAGATAATAAATTTTGAGCAATATAGAGAAACTGAGTTTTCTTCTTTAGGGAGGATGTGAAAGCCTTCTATTTCTTTAAAAAATGTCTGTATGGTATGAGGGAGCAACACATTCTCCACTTCTGATGTCTCTTTCCATGACGAGGAAGCTCCACTGGTCTCACTCTCCTTGTGTTTCTTCTACTCCATATTTACTGTTTCCCTGGGAAGGTGAAGTGACTTCTGTGATGGGTGAGTTTGGGAGGAGAAACTGGGTGGGCATAGCCTAGGACCTTCCTCTCAAAAGCCAACTTGTCCACAAAGAGCATGTGTTCCTCTCTGCTCACTGCTGCACAGTGAGAGGGACTCACTGTAGCCAGGATCTTGGTAATTTTTCGGGGCAGCCAGTGTTGAGTGGGTTAAGTCTCTCTAATTCTGGGCTTCAGTTTTGGGAAGGTTAATTTCAAGCAAATATAAGCCGTCTAATCTAGGGTTCACTTTATTAGTAATTTTAATCTCTTTTTGCCTTCCTGTTTTTTAATTTCTCAGTTGATTCAGTACTGAGCCAGATAAGAGTGGTAATATTTATTATGCCCCCTAAAACTCAACATAAGGGAAGAAGGGTGTGAGTAGCTGAAGGGATAGACTGTGGCAGATGCTGTAAGTTGGCTGACTCGAGACACAACCCATTCAATCTTTTGCTTGCTCTCCTCTGCCAGAGAGGATGAGGAACTTAAAATGTGTCTCAGTCAGGTCCTTTTGCAGCTGGAGGTGGCATTGTGACGCAGTTCTGGCAGTAAGAGGGAAAGTGAAACTTACCATGCTGCTTCCTCTGCGTCCCCCTTGTTTCTGCCTAGAGTGTGAGTACAGTGCCTGTGGGGCAGCAGTCATTATCAAAGGGAACAGAGCAGAAAGAATGAGGAAGCCTTGTTCCCTGCCTGCATCATAGCTATTGTACCAGCCCTGGGTTACCAACCCTCGGACTTCTTTTTTGTGTGATACAAATAAACCCCTTGTTTAATAAACATTGTTTTGGGGGTTTTCTGATACTTGTTGGGAAATGCAATCCTAAATGATACAGGGAGTAATTTTTTTCTATGTTATAGGATTGTTGTGGGTCTAAAGGTAATGTATATTTCCTTATATATAGCACGTAGTACCTTTCATCTAATAGACTCTTTTCAGTCCCTTCTTAAACTCTTTGTAGCATTAAAAACTACTAACTGTTCACTCCTTCTCAAAGTACTCTCTTGTTTTCCTCAATATCTTTGGTTGCTCCTTCTCAGTATACTTTGCAGGCTCCTCTTCCTCTAGCAATATCCCCTAAGGGTCAATATTCTTCAGGCTTCTGGTGTAGGTTTTTTTCTATTCTCACCACGCACATTAACGAGGGCATTCTCATTCACTCTGTTGATTTCAATAACCACTTGTATGCTGGTCATTTTAAATAGATATTTTCAGTCTAGACTGTCTCCTAATATCCAAACAAGTATATCTGGATATCCCTACTTGAATATTACATAACTTAACAAACCCTATATTCCCTCTCCCAGTGAATTGCATCTTGCTGCCCACCCTGTTGTCCAACCACAAATCTAAAAGCATCATTAATTCCTTTCTCTTATTCCTCATATCTGTCAATCACTAAATCCTGTTGATTCCATCTCTTAAATATATCTCAAATCCACACACTTATCATTACTTTCTGGGTTCAAGCTATCGTCACCTCTCCCCTAGATTAGAGAAATAGCTTTCCTCCTGTTTTGTCCCACTTTAATCCATTCTTCACACTGCAGCCAGAGTGGTCTTTACAAAAACACAAATTGCATCGTGTCATTTCCCTGCTTAAAACCCTGCAATGATTCAGGGAAAGAAGGTGGAGAGTGATATGGGGTGCAATTTTAGATACAGTGGTCAGAGAAATTTTCTTTGAGGAAGTGACATTTGATCAAAGACCCAAACAAATGCAATACATGTTGGAATTTTCTTAGGATAATACTTACCACGTATATTTGCTAAGTGCATATTTTAAAACTATAATCTACTAATCTTAAAGATTCTCATGCAATAGGAATTTTCAAAATACTTACTTCCAACAGATTTGCATTCCTTTTCTCAATTACAGATTGCAAGAGGTCGTGGCTCATATGTAGGATATTCTCAACATATGGTAAGCATTCTGACTGATAATCACGATTTATAACATTGAAAATACCAATGCGCTTCTCAATGGTCATATTAACAATATGTCTAAGATAGTTTCTGAATTTAACTAGCATAGTTTTAAACTGTGTTGAAGTTAATTCTCCTATCGACGATATTTTCATACTCATGATTTTGGCCTTCTCTACCATGGTAAAATATTTCGTAAACTTGGAGCTATAAACATTAACTAGGCCCATTGCGTTACCAATAATAGTCAGGAGACTCACAATCTGTAAGTAAAAATGTTAAAAAAGTTAGTCAGAATTTTATTTTAAGAGTGAAAAAAGTGTGGTCTAATATGCTAATAGTTCTATTAAAATATTTAAAATAATAGTTTATGTGGAGTTCACTTTGTTAAGAACCTCTACTAAATAACTAAATATGTTGGAAATACAAGACTTTAAAAAATTTAGGTAGCTTTTTTACATTTGGCTTTTATGTAAAGGCTTACTGGCTGTTTAACTTTATAATTAGCATGTTATTTTGAGCCATGTACTAGAGACACCAATCATTTATTCCCCTGCTTGTCACCCTGTTTTGGTGTATATGCTCTATGCATAGCCCTAGAAAAGGCAAGTTCTATATACTATGTGACCTTACCCAAGTCCCAAGACATAGCTACTCTGGATAGGGTAGAATCCTGAGCCAAGCTGAGACGATTACATTCTCTTGTAAATTTGAACAAAAATACCCAATTAGAGGGTAATGGGAGAAGTCGGGGCCATGGCAAGTCAACATATTGACAAGTCAATAGTATGAGGGAACCATAAAAGGGAAAGCTCATTTTCATAGTGGAAGTTGGAAAAAAAAAAACACAGAAGTGAACAGAGATGAAAGATCATGAGGAAGACAAAAGGGGAGATAAGCTGGGAATGATTTTCCAGTTGCCATAAATTATGATGCTCTAGTTTTTCAATAAATCCCTTTCCTCTAAGAATTTCAATGGGTTTCTGCTCCTTAAACCAGATATTCCCTAAGACAAACTGTTTTTAAACTTACTTTATTTTGGTAGGCAGGATCCATTTCAAAAAGGGTCTGACAATCTGGCCATCTGGTTTGCCTCTTATAGCCTATCACATTTTCTGTCTTATTAGGTAAATCCGTAATTAAAACCAAATCGGTAAAGATAGACAGGCGGGGATCTTGGCATAGAGGAATAATTTTAGCTAAAATATATAATTCAAAAGTTAGTATTTTCAGAAGTCTCATTGAAAGCAACATCTTAACATTACCCATGACATCTAGAACTACTGAAAACTGAGGCTGATTTATTATGAGGGTTAGATAGTATTCTATACTAATAAATGGAATTTAAAGACAGGTGTAAAAGTTTGGATTTAATATTATGGAAACAAAAGAATCACTCACAGGTAACTGGGTGGTGGTGAGGCAAGGCATGAGTAAAATAGAAACTGAGAGTAAACCATTAAGTTAACAATAATTTGAAGTTTATATTCTATGTGAAGAGCGTTATACCATTGTGAGGATACAGAGATTAAAAGACATGGCCTCTACAGTCAATGAGTTCATAGTCTAGCTGAACAAGTAGATATCCATAGACAAAAACCTAAACAACTTCAACCTACACTTCATATATTATACAAAAATCAAGATGAATCACACACCTAAATATAAAACACAAATCTAAAAATCTTCTAGGAGAAAATATAGGAAAAATCTATGTGGTCTTGAGTTAGACAAAGAGTTTTTAGATACAAAACCAAAAGCATAATCCATAAAAGAAAAAAATTGATAAGGGGTACTTTATCAAAATTAAGAAGTGTAGCTTTGTGGAAAAGAATTGAAAAGGTAAGGCCCGGACTGGGAGAAAATGTTTGCAAATTTTATATTTGATAAAGGACTTGTATCCAGAGTACATATAAAGACCTCTCACAAGTCAGCAATAAGTAAACAAACACCTCAATTAAAAAAATAGGCCAGACGTCTAAAGAGATATTTGAGCAAAAAAGATACACATAAGCATATGTATGTAAGAAGTATGTGAAAAGATGAACAATATGATTAGTCATTAGTGAAATGAAAATTAAAACCACAATGAGATATCCCCACACACCATTTAGAATGGCTGAAATACTTTTTAAATCTGACAATACCAAGTGTTGACAAAGATGCAGAGCAAATGGAACTCTTATACATTGTTGGTAGGAAGGCAAAATGATACAACCACTTAGCAATTCTCATAAAATTAAACCTACACCTACCATATGACCCAGCAATCCCACCCTTGGATATTTACCCAAGAAAAAAGAAAACTATGTTCATCCAAACACCTGTATGTGAATGCTTATAGCAATTTTATTCATAATTTCCCCAAACTGGAAATAACCCAGATGTGAATGGATAAACAAAGTGTGGTATATCCAGACAATAGAATAAAACTCATCAATAAAAAGGTATAGACTATTGATTCATGAAACAATGTGGATGAATTTTAAATGCATTTTTCTAAGTGAAAGAAGCCAGCCCAAAAGGCTCCACATGCATTTATATGACATTCTGGAAAAGGCAGAAATATAAAGACAGAAAACAGATCATTGGTTGCCAGGAATAAGGAGATGTGGAGGGTTTGACCACAAAGGGGCAGCACAAGGGAATTTGGGGATGATGGAACTGTGATACTAGATATGAGATTGTCAAAACTGATAAAACTGTTCACCACAAAGTGTGACTTTTACCATATGTAGATTTAAAAAAAATCAACTATGGGGCCGGCCCAGTGGTGTAGTGGTTAAGTTCGCACACTCTGCTTCGGCAGCCCGGGCTTCACAGGTTCAGATCCCGGTGCAGACCTATGCAGCACTCATCGAGCCATACTGTGGCAGTGTTCATATGAAGTAGAGGAAGATGGGCAAATTTTCAGAGGAAATACTGTAACTTCATAGTGGACAAACCTGACAAACAGCACCTTAACCAATGATCATAGTGATCAGTAAAAAGTGACCAGTAAAAAGACAGCAACAGGATGTACACCTGACATGATGTACCAGAAAGGGCACACAACCCTGTGTGTGCTTCCCCAAAATGTACAACTGCAAACTCATCATAAGATGACATCAGACAATCCAAAATTGATGGACAGTCTATAGAGTATGAAGGACAAGGAAAGACTGAGGAACTATCACAGACTGGAAGAGACTTCGGAGACATGACAAGGAAATACAATGTGAGATCCTGAACTGGATCCTGGAACAGAAAACGGACATCAGTAAAATGACTGGGAAAATCCAAAGTCTGTCATTTTGTTACTACTATTGTACTAATAATAATTTCTTAGCTTTGATAATTGCACTAGGGTTAGACAAAGCATGTGAAGAGTATATAGGAACTCTGTACCATGCTTGCAACTCTTATATAAGTCTCCAATTATCTCACAATAAAAACTTACACAAAATTAAATGGTAGAAACATTTCATAACAGAGAAAAAAAGAAATGGAAATGACCAGAGGTTCAGATCCAGACAATCCAAAGATGAAAACCAAAAAATCCAGAAGGAAAAATGGGATATATAGAAAGACTGATAAAAAATTCTTCAGACTGAGAAGCCTCACTGCATTTTAAGAAAGATTAGTATAGAACGATATGTATCTAACTTTATTGTAGTAAAGTTCCTAACTCCAAATGGTAAATTACTAGACAGAAATACATTTACAAAGGAAGGCAAATCAGAGGAGCATCAGACTTCTTATCTTCAGTACTGAAAGCTAAAAGGCAGTGGAACAAATTTATGGACTTTTGAGAAAAATGGGGGAGGATGGTGTCATTCTAACAAGAGACATAGCTGTCTATAAGACTATAATATTGCAAGATATAAATATCTCTGGATTTTAATCAGCAAGAAACTCCTACCTAGCTGATTCAAAATGGACTAGAGGCATATAAAAACTTTAAGATATTTCTTGATTTTCTAAAACAAACCCATGTTTTTATGCATGTTTCATCTTAATAATACAATGCAAACTTAAAAATAAATTTGAAATTTCGAGGGACATGCAATTATATTTCAGGCAGTTTTGGGGAAAGAAGACACTAGGTGGTGATAATTAAAAAGTATAGTGAGAAAGACTGAATTCCTGGGGCTTGCAAAAAGAAATCAAATAATGCATTGGAAACCAGCTTAGGCTGGAAAGAGGGTCCTCTGAACTCAGCAAACTATATCATGATGTGACTGGAGGATGATGCAACATTTAAGGAGCTGCCAAGGGTCCTGCTGTTTTAAGATCTTTATAAGATTTAGACTGTAGTCAAGGGATAAATTCATTGGTCAGGCTAGTAACTGCCGTATAATTTCAGATTGTGTAGAGGCAGCTGGAAAAGAATTAATAAAAATCTATTTAAGGTGGAAACAATATCTTTATTATGCCATGATGTAAGATACTGCTTATTTGTTTTGTCTTATAAAATTCTGTAGTACATTATTGAAAAAATCCAAGCCTTGGCTATTTTCCTAAATCCCATCGTTTATGCACTCTATTCTTATGTGTATATTTCGTACATCCTCGAATAATTCCAAATTCACATTGATTAATCCCCAAAAGTGTGAATTTATGATCTAATATACTGTAATGTCTGCCACATCCATGGGCAAAAGCATCCGATGCCTAAATTTAAGAAAATATTGCCAAAGAATACAATGTATCTAACTAAACTTTAAAAATACTTACTTATACATGTTTCAATGTCAGTCACCATTTTTTGAATTTTTATTGAAAATTCCAATCTATTGGGAACTATAAAGAGATTTGTAGGGAATTCTAAAAATCTAAGAGAGAATACAATAAAAGCATATTTTAGAAGAATGCAGTACCTAACACATAAAATACAATTACTTGTAATTTCAAAAATGTCCACTACTTACTCATCATCCATGTATTTATTCTCAAACTCAGTCGCGATTTCTACGTCTATTAAAATTCATTGAAAGAAAGAGAGAATAAAAAATTGATTGATATATTTATATCAGCTAAACGACAAGTTGATATGTGTCAGTGCTTTCCAAACACCCTAAGAATAAACTGGAAAGGTCAGTTGAAAGAACGTATTCAAGCAGTACCCTCCACCCCCAGACTCTGATTGATAATTGGAGGTCTAAGATGGAGTCCAAGAGTCTGCATTTTTAACAAGCATCCCAGGTGTTGTTCATCCTGATAAAAGGGACCCTCAGGCCCCCCTCACGTGGTATGCATATTTAGATAAAAATGAATAATGATGTTATTACTTACATGCACCACAAATGATCTCTCAGTTTATGCTTACTTTGAGCATTCTTATTTTAACATTTATATCATAACCTATTAATTGATAATACATAAACTATTAAAATTTTCTCTCACTTGTTATTTTCCAGTTGTTAGGATATTTCCCTTCACTCCTAATAGTCTCATTCGTCTTACCTGAAAGAATTTCTTCAAGGTTGTAACTAACTTTTTTTGTTTTTTTCATTATTGGGAGCAGTTCTTCACTTGAGTGTTTTACGACAGAGTTGGCTTCATTTTCTGATATTTCATCTTCTTCACACGTCACAGATTTTTCAGAGCACTTTCCAGACTCATGAAGGTTCTCTTTAGAATTTTCTGAAGAATCACTCTCAGCAGGAATTCTCAAGTGTAGATTTACTTCAAATATTGGTGCATAGATTTTTCTCAAATCCTTAGCCACTTTAATGCTATTCAAAATCTAATTTAACAGATACGTTAGAGTGCCAGTGACAATATATAACTAAAACAACATTTCTTTTAATTTAGGATAATACAGACCTAAATTTTAAATGGTAAATAAAAATTTCAGTATAACTGAATAAGATTGTATTATCATATAACTGATATTTGCATGTTAAAGTTAAAATAAATAAATTAACGTGAAATAAATGATATAATGCAGTAGTTCTCCCTAAGAGACTGTGTAAATTGATGCCAGAGTGGCTACATACTAATCAGCTGAGAGCTTATTAAAAATACAAAATCTTAGGCCCTATCCCCAGAGATTTTGAGTTAAAAAGTCAAGGGCAGGACCCAGGAATCTGAATCATTTAAAATCTGGGCAGGCGATTCTACTGTATCCTCAGGTTTAATTACAAATCAGGAATATACTTCAAATCCACTACTATAGGTCCTAATTCTTCACTTTAACGTACATACACTACTGAAAAATAAGAGAAGTATTTCAGGTATAAGTATCTTATTTTTACACAGCATCAATTGCTCTTAGGCTCCATCTAGACATGGCTTCTCAATTAATCTATTGATCCCTCATATCCCATAAATAATCGGTTGTGCCTAAGGCATCTAGTAAGTGTTTCTCAGTGTGGTCATCTGAATCCTCTGCGAGAACCTCAGCCTTTAGTTCCAGTCGTTAACAAGGCAGTTAACGTATAAATAAATGCCATTAGTACCCTCTTAAGCTGCCGAGAAAGAGCCTGAGTAGATGCTGAAGATGATTTGCAGGCCTTAAAAGTTCTACACAAATGGGTACAGCTTCTGTTTGGGATGATGAGAAACTTCTGGAAATGGATAGTGGTGATGGTTGCACAACATTGTGAATGTGCTAATACCATTGAATTGCACACCTAAAAATTATTAAAATGGTAAATTTTATGTTATGGATGTTTTATCACAATAAAAAAGCTCCTGTGGACAATTCCAAACAAATATATAATGTGTTACATAGCTTATTCTGGAAAATAACCTCTAGCTCTGGGAATGACTGGACCTCAAGCCCTATATACCTTCTAATATTATAGGAAATAAATATTTTGCATAGACTCATTCTTGAAAGAAATACGTATAGTATAGTTGCCATTTGACATAGTATAGTTACCATTTGTGAGTGCTTATCACGCCCTAGGCACTATGGTAAACAAGTTATCTTCACCTCATCCTTATAGTAACCCTAAGATAGAAATTATTACTCCTGAAGCTGAGACTCAGGAAGCTTATATTAATTTGTCAAAGGCTGTATTGCTAGCATATGGTAAGGCTGAAGTTTACTCATGAGTCTGTGTAACTCCAAAGTCCATAGTTAAAATATGAACCGAGGCTTGAAAGTCTTTTTGTAATAAAGGAATTTTTTGGCTATTATGCTTTTTGTGCCAACAAGAATGGACCAGTAAACAGTCTGATTTCCTTTAGATTGTAAACTACAAGAGAGAAATAGCTACATCTAAATGAAACTAAAAATTCTACAGCATGCAGTGGGGAATGCGGGGAGGACTTTAGCCCTGAGCTCTCTTGAGAGTCAGATCTGTATTTCCAACATCCTAACAGAAATTTTCACCTGGTTGCCCACAGGTACCTCTGACTCAACATACCCCCAAATAATTACTGGTCTTATCTTGGATTGGATATTAGAATGAGCTCAAAAAAGCAGTCCATCCTAACATGAATTTAGCACAGGCATAAACAGGAGCAAACTAACATCAGATACTAGAGGGCAAAGTATGAGCAAGATGCTAAAACCTGGACTGTGGGGCAAAAACGGAACCAGGGACAGACAGGAGTCACGCCAGGTTCACAAGGCCAGATACATCAAATCTAATCACAAGGAAACTGGAAAAGCAGAATCAGCACTGAATTTTAAAATATCCAAATTAAGAATTTCTGTTACCAAAGATCTATAGCTAAAGTTAACAGATGAGGACAAGTTGAGAGGCAATATTTACAAAGTCTAAATTAACAAAGAATCAATATCTAGAATATACAAGAAAGTCCTAAAAATCAGTAAGAAATTAAATATAAAAAAATGTTCAAAAGATATCAATAAGCAATGCAAAGAAAGAAAATTAACATAGTTCATATAGATGTGAAGCCTCACTAGTAAAGACAGAAATAGAAATAAAAACAGCGAGATACCGCTTGTTATACATCAGACTGGCAAAAATTAAAAAGTCATCAAATATGGAGAAAGGATATGGAGAAATGCACTGGTAATGGGACCGTAACTTATACTCTTGCTGGAGAGCAAGATGGCAATATTTTAAAATGAAATGCATATATCCTATGACCTAGCAGTCTACTCTCAAATATATACAACAAAGAGAAATTTTCACCTAGTCTATAAGAAAACCTATTAAGAGGCTGTTTATCACAGCCTTGTTAATGATAGCAAAGACTTGGAAGTAACTTAAGTGCCTATAGGAGAATAGACATATAAAATTAGTTGTATGGAAATACTATGTAACAATCAGGAACAATAAATTATATGTGTGTGTGTATCTGTGTGTGTGTATTTACTGTCATAGATTAGGTTCCCCGGGAAGCAGGTGAGGTACCTGTTAAGGTCTTTAGCTCATTTTTAAATTGGGTTGTTTATTTTCTTATTGTTGAGTTTTGAGAGTTCTTTGTATATTTTGATGAGTCCTTTACCAGATGTGTCTTTTGCAAATATTTTCTCCCAGTTTGTGGCTTGTCTTCTCATTCTCTTGTCAATGTCTTTTGCAGGGAAGAAGTTTTTAATTTTAGTGAAGTCCAGCTTATCAATTCTTTCTTTCTTGGATCAGGCCTTTGGTTATTGTATCTGAAAAGTCATCACCATACCTAAGGTCATTTAGGTTTTCTCCTATGTTACCTTCTAGTAATTTTTATAATTTTACATTTAGGTCTATGAACCATTTTGATTTAAATTTTTTGAAGGGTGTAAAGTCTGTGTCTAGATTCATTGTTTTGCATGTGGATGTCCAGTTGTTCCAGCACAATTTGTTGAAAAGACTGTCTTTGCTCCATTGTATTGCCTTTGTTTCTTTGTCAAAGATCAGTTGACTATATTTATGGAGGTCTATTTCTGGGTTCTCTATTCTGTGCCATTGATCTGTTTGCCTATTCTTTTACTAACACCACACTATCTTGATTACTGTAGCTTTATAGTAAGTCTTAAATTCAGGTAGTGTCAGTCCTCCATCTTTGTTCTTCTCCTTTAATAATATGTTGGCTCTTCTGGGTTTTTTGCCTCTCCATATAAACTTAGGAATCAGTTTGTCAATATCCACAAAATAACTTGCTGGGATTGTGATTGGAATTGCCTTAAATCTATAGATCAAGTTGGGAAGAACAGACATCTTGACAATATTGAGTCTTCCCATCCATGAACATGGAATATCTCTTCATTTATTTAGTTCTCCTTTAATATCTTTCATCAGAGTTTTGTAGTTTTCCTCATATAGATCTCATACGTATTTTGTTAGATTTATACCTAAGTATTTCATTTTGGGGGTGCTAATGTAAATGGTATTATGTTTTTAATTTCAAAGTCAACTTGCTCATTGCTAGTATATAGGAAGGTGATTGGCTTTTTAATATTAGCTTTGTCTCCTTGTAACCTTCCTATAATCACTTACTAATTCCAGGAGATTTTTTTGTCAATTCTTTTGGATTTTCTACACAGACAATCACATCATCTGCAAACAAAGACAGTTTTATTTCTTCCTTCTCAAACTGTATACTTTTTCTTTTCTTGTCTTGTCTATTGTATTATCTAGTAATACCAGTACAATTTTAAAAATCAGTGGAAAGAGGGAACATTCTTACTTTGTTCCTGATCTTAGTGGGAAAGCTTCAAGCTTGTCACCATTAAATATGATGTTAGTCATAGTTTTTTGTAGATCTTCTTTATCAAATTCAGGAAGTTCCTCTCTATTCCCAGTATACTAGGAGTTTTTATCATGAATTGGGTGTTATATTTTCTCAAATACTTCTGCTGTATCTATTGATATGATCATATGGTTTTTCTTCTTTAGTCTGTTGATGTGATGGATTACATTAATTGATTTTCAAATGTGGAACCATCCTTGCATACCTGGGATAAATCTCACTTGGTGTATAATTCTTTCTATACACTGTTGGATTTGATTTGCTAATATTTCATTGAAAATTTTTATATCTATGTTCATGAAAGATATTGCTCTTTAGTTTTCTTTTCTTATAGTGTCTTTGTCTGGTTTTGTTATCAGGGTAATGTTGGCCTCATAGAACATGTTAGGAAGTATTCCGTTTGCTTCTAGCCTCTGAAAGAGACTGTAGAGAATTGGTATAATTTCTTCCTTAAATGTTTGGTAGAATTCACCAGTGAACCCATCTGGGCCTGGTGCTGATAGGTTTTTATTACATCAAAAAAAATATTCCTCATACTAGAAACACTATTAACAAAAGGAAAACAAATAACTCATTAGGATTTATACTTTCAGTGTATGACAAATGGTTATGATCTATATTTTACAAATAGCTTCTGTAATTAAGTAAGAAAAAAAAGAAAACTCCATCAGAAAAATGGGAAAGGACATCAAAAGGTCATAAAATGAGAAATACAAGTGGCTAATAAGCATAAGAAAAATATTCAATATTATGAGAAATAATTTAAGTAAAACATGAAAGATGGTTAATTCCAGGTCTCAGCTATCAATAGGCAACAGCCAGTATAAAATAGGATACACTTAAAAGGCAATCTTTAAGAGAACAGAAATTGGTATAACCTTATCTGGAGAGAAATTCTGCCTGCACATTGATAGCCTTAAAAAGGTCCATAGTGCTCACTTAACATTAATCCTAAGGAAAAAATTAAAACAGTGCATACGTTTTTGTCTTGAAATATTTCTATTCCAAAGTGTCCCAAAAGAACTAGTAGAAGCAACTAAAATAACAATTCCCTTAAAGCACGTCGGTTAAATCTAACAAAAAAAGTACAAAATTTTCATGGAAAAAATTATAAAAGACATTGAAGAAAACTTAAATGAATAACATCATCATGGCAGAAAGACTCAATATCATAAAACATAAACTCTCCCCCCCCCAAATTGCCTATATGTTGTAGGCAATTTCAATCAAAATCCAAATAGGGTTTGATTCTAAAATGTATATGGAAGTACAAATGGCTGAGACTAGCCAAGACAGTCTCAGAGAAGGAGAAGACTTTTTCAAAGCTGTAGCATTAATTCAGTGTGGGATCAGCACCGTAATAGGCAAGTAGGTAACAGAACAGAATAAGAGTCTGGAAACAGAAGACACATATATATGGAAACATATGATATATGATAAATAAAGAGCTACCATTGCAGATCAGCAGGGAAAGGATGTAAATAAATTGTGCTTGGGCAATGGTTACTCATATAGAAATAAAAGAAAATGGATTGCTACCATACGTCACACACAAAAAAACATTTCTAGATAAAGTAAAGACAAATATGAAGGCCAAACTTAAAACTTTTATAAGGAAATACAGGAGAATATTTTTATGACCTCAGGATGGTGAGTAATTTCAAATACCAACAAATGAAAAGATTGATAAATTCTATTACATTGAAATTAAGAATTATTGGTAAACAAAATATAAAGGGAATAAAAATAACACATCATATAATAGGAGAAGATAACTGCAATATATATACAAAGAATTCCTGAAAAAAACAAAAAAAAGAAACAACCCAATTGATTAATGGGCAAAAAACACAGAAGATGAAATATGAATCTCCAATAACATATTTTTTTAAAATGCACAACCAAACTACTAATAAGGGAAATACAAATTAAAATTGCAATAAAATGCCATTTCACACCTATCTAATTGGCAAGGACATTAAATATTGGTGAGAACTGGTGCAGATATGGAGCAATAAAAACTTACTCAGTGCTAAAGATTGTTTAAATTGGTATAGGCACTTTGGAAAACAATTTTGCATTACTCAGTACAGTCAAAAATAAACATATCTTTCTCCCTGAAATTTCACTCCTTAGCAATAAATAAATAGTAATGGAGACATATAAAAGAATGTTCATGGCAGAATTCTATGTAATAGCAAAAACAAAAACTGAAAACAACCCAAATATCCATCAACAATAGAGTGGGTAAATCAATTGTTTCATCATGAAAGGCTATATAGGAGACATTAAAGACTTTTAAGCTGGGTGAAGTCTATGTTTGCTTACTTATACTTTAAACTGTATATATGCAGTATATTTTTGCAGGTATGATATACTTAATAAAGACTTTATAAATACAACGCATATGTATTGTACAAAGTTCAGACTATACACAAATGTACATATAAGAAAGTAAAAATTATCTAGAGTCCTATCACCGACAGATAACCACTGTTATTTTGTTGCATACATCTCCCTTCAAACTATGTAAGTGTGCGTATTTGTTTTTACTTAATTACATGTGGACATTTTCCCTTGTTACTAAAGCTACCTAAAATATTTTTTTAAAGAAAAAATCTATAAAGAACGTATTATACAGTGCTATCTCATAAAAATGCTGCTTTTGCCAAACAGGACAAGCATCTACCATATAAAGTTTAATCCCAAGAAAAGAATGCTGGGGGTGGTAGGGACAATTCTTCATTGCAAGAAAAGATTTCATAATGAAAATTTCTTTAGGATTCTTTCAAGATTTTTCACAATGGCTTGTGTCATTTTTAAGTTAATAACAATCAAAAAACGGTATTCTCAAGAAAAGCAAAGAGAGTTAGAGGTATACAGTGGTGGGGGTAGAAGGAGGTGGCTGCTACTTTAGATAGGTAGCCTTCTCTGACCATTCCCACGTAAAGTAGCATACAGTATCACTCTGCATGCCCCTATCTTCCTTTGCTTTTCTTGATAGTCCTCATCACTTCATTATCTGTCTTCTTCAGGAGAATACAAGCTCCAAGAAGTCAGAGAATTTGTTCTGCTCACTGCTGTATTTCAGTGCCCAGTTCAGTGCCTGTACATAGTCAATGCCCAATAATGCATTAACAAATAAACTGGATGAGATAAGCGTAATTATAGCTTTCCACAGTGGGAGCAGGTGTGTGTGAGTGTGTGTGTATTGGGAAGAAGTTGTATTAATCATAAATCACATTTTTAATTCCAAAACTTATTATTTATTTTACATTAAAAATCTATATTTATATTTTCAAAGACCATTTTACCTCATTAATATCAGCTTCTGTTTTTACTTCTGACTTTGGAACAGAAGTAGCATGTAAGTTTGAATTATTAACAAGTTTGTCACAATCATTTGTTATCTTTCCAGTGTAAGCAAAGATGTCCTCATGTATTCTAGATGAAGAAATGGGAAGGAAAAAACCCACAGTCCTTTTAAACTCATATCTCATTAATATCCAGAATACATAAATAACTAGACATTCCTCCAAAGAAGGTATATAGATGGCCAATAAGTACATAAAAAGATGCTTAGCATCACTAATCATCAGGGAAATACAAATCAAGACCACAATGAGATATCACTTCACACCAATACCACAGAGATATATCACTTCACACCAATTAGGATAGCTATTATTTTTAAAAAAAGAAAAATAATAAGTGTTGGTGAGGATTAGAACCCTTGTGCCTTGCTGATAGGAGTTAAAATGGTGCCGCTACTGTAGAAAACAGTAGGGAAGCTCCTCAAAAAGTTAAAAGTAGAATTACCATATGATCCAGCAATTCTACCTCTAGGTATATAAACAAAAAAATTGAAAGCAGGGACTCAAACAGATATTTTCACATTAATTTTCATAGAACCATTATTTACAATAGCTAAAAGGTGAAAACAATGCAAATGTCCAGCAATAGATGAATGGATAAACAAAGTGTAGTATATACATACAATGGAATATTATTGAGCCTTAAAAAGGAAGAAATTCTGATACATGCTGCAACATGGATGAACCTTGAAAACTTTATGCTAAGTGAAATAAGCCAGACAAAAAGGACAATTATTGTATGATTCTTCTTATATGAAGTACCTAGAAGAGGTAAATTCATAGAGACAGAAAGTATAATAGAGGTTACAAGGGCTTGGTTGGGAGGGGACGGTGCATGGGGAATGAAGAGTTATTGTTTAATGAGTACAAAATTTCCATTGGGATGATGGAAAAGTTCTGGAAATGGATATGAGTGATGGTTGCACAACATTGTGAGTGCACTTAATGCCACCAACTTATACATTTAAAAATGATTAGAATGTCAAATTTTATGTTATTTATATTTTACTACAATAAAAAATACATGTCTCATTTCAGCAAGATGGGGAAGTAAAAACATTTCTATAAGTCTTAATTGGGGGGGGCAGGAAAATGAAGCATTTTTTTGAAAAGTAAAGATTTACAAATATATACTAATAGGGTAACATAATTTTAATCATAATTATTAGGAAGATAGAGAATTCATAAACACACTGAAAAGCATAAAGAACTCTAAAACATAGAGGTGGAGGGAGGCATTGGGAATTAAGAGACATTTAACTGAATCAGCAAAAATAGGAAAATTGGGAAAAAAGAAAAAACAATAACAAAGTAAAATAAATAATAAACATAAATAAAATGGAAAGAATAAAATCAAAGCATACCAGTTATTACTAGATGTGAATAGGCTCAATTTCCGTATTAAAAGACAGAAACTATCAGATTGGGTTAAAAAGCAAAATCAAACCACAATAAGATAAGATAAATATCTGAATATAAGGTGAAAAAGTAAGGTTGAAAATAAAGCTATTAGGAGTTTCTGGCAGCAAGAGAATAGCACAGAATCATTATTTAAAAATTTTTTTCCAAATGTCCTCATAAAAATCAGACAGAGAAATAGACAATCTGAATAGGACTGTATCTATTAAAGAAACTGAATCAGTAATTAGTAAGCTTCCAAAACAGAAAGCCCCAGGCCCACGTGGGTTTACTGGTGAATTCTACCAAACATTTAAGGAAGAAATTATACCAATTCATTCTATGAGGCCAGTATTATCCTGGAACCAAAACCAAACCAAGACATCACAAGAAAAGGACCAATATCCTTTATGAATATAGATGCAAAAATCCTCAACAAATTACTAGCAAACTGCATTCAGCTGCATATACAAAGGATTTTACACCATAATCAAGTGGGATTTATTCCAAGAATGCAAGATTGGTTCAACATACAAAAACAAATGTATGTAACATAATGTAGTACACCATATTAGGAGGACAAAGTTAAAAAACACATGGTCATCTCAAGAGACACAGAAAGAAAGCATTTAACAAAATCCAACCCCATTTCATGTAAAAACATTCAACAAACTAAAGATAGAATGGAACTTCCTCAATCTGATAAAAATCATCTGCAAAAAACCCACGACTAACATCATACATAACAATGAAAGACTGAAAGTTTTCTCTGTGAGATCAGGAATAAAATAGGGATACACACTCTTGCCATTTCTAATAACACTGTACTGAAGGTTCTAGCCAGGGCAATCAGGCAACAAAAAGAAATGAAAGACATCATATTGAAAAAGAACAAGTAAAACTACCTCTATTTGCAGATAATATGATCTTGTATATAGAAAATTGCAAGGAATAAAAAAACAATGTTAGAGCTAATAAACAAGGTCAACAATGTTGCAGGATACAAGATCAATATACAAAAATCAGTTGTATTTCAATACACTAGCAATGAACAATCCAAAAATGAAATTTAAAAAGTAATTCCATTTACAATAGCATCAAAAAGCATAAAATACTTAGAATAAATTTAACAAAAGAAGTGTAAGATGTGTACACTGAAAACTACAAAACATTGTTGAAAGAAGTGAAAGACCTATATAAATGGAAAGGTATCCCATGTTCATGGATTAGAGAACTTTACACTGTTGAGATGAAAGTGTTCCCCATATTTACCTACAGATTCAATGCAATCCCTATCTAAATTCCAGCTGCCTTTTTTTTTTTTTCAGAAATTGGCAAACTTATTCTACAATTCATATGGAAATGCAAGGGGTTCAGAATAGCCAAAACAATGTTGAAAAACAACATTGGAAGACTCACATTTTCCAATTTCAAAACTTACTACAAAGCTACAGGTGCCAAGGCAATTCAATGGAGAAAGAATAGTCTTTTCAACAAAGAGTGCCCGGACAACTGGATATCTATCTATCTATGTATCTATCTATCTTATCTATTCCTATACCATATCTATATGTATTTCTATACCATATGCAAAAGAATGAATTTGGACCCCATCTCACTCTACATACAAAAATTAACACAAAATACATCAAAGACCTAAAAGCAAAAGCTAAAATTGTAAAATCTTAGAAGAAAACATAAGTATAAATCTTCATGACCTTCGATTAGGCAACAATTTCTTAGATATGACACCTAAAGCAAAATCAAAGAAAAAATAAACTGGCCTTCTTCAAAATTAAATACTTTTGTGCTCCCAAGGATACTATCAAGAAAGTGAAAAGATGACCCACAGAATGGGAGAAAATTTTTGCAAATAACCTATTATTTGGTAATAGGAAGGGCCTAGTATCCAAACTATATTTTTTAAAAAACTCTTAAAACTCAACAGTAAAAAGACAAATAACACAATTTAAAAATGGACAAAATATTTGAATAGACATTTACCCAGAGAGGGCATATAAATAGCTAATAAGCAATGAGAGGATGGTCAACATCATTATTCATTATGGAAATACAAATCAATATTGTTAGGAGGTCAATGGAAACAGATTCAATAATGATAGCTACTACTTACCAGGCATTTACTCTGTGTTTATTCTCCAACAACATTATGATATAGGTATTATAGTTATCTCCAATTTAGAGAAGAGGAAACTGAGGTCTAAAGAATTTATTTAACCTCTGTTAGGTTAATAGCTAGCCTATGTCACAAAACTTGTCGGAGACAAAATAGGGATTAGAACCCAGGTAGTCTGACTCCATAAAAAGATGTACTTGAACCACTACCCATGTATTCCTCCTACAACATAAAAAAATGTGTACAAGACATGCTGTATTTTAAAAATGAGCTATAAAGTAGTACACTAGGATTACAACACTGGAAAACTATTTAGGAAAAGTCTAGAAGAAATTACACCAAAATAATAAGACATTGTATTTAAGTGATAGAATTAGGGTGATTTTTGTTTTCCAAATTTTCTATAATGTGATGACTTAACTATAATAATAAAAATCTATTTTAAAAAATTATGTTCAGAATTAAAGACTTTTCCTAAACACAAATATACACATACACACACACCAGTAGTTTTAGAGGAAATAAAATTATAATGAGCTATCACTAAATAGTTGTGTTTTTATATAGGTTAAAGTCCTGGCATTGACTCAAATCAGTTACAAGGCCTTAGGTAAGTGATTTAAGCTTTATGGATTCAGTAATGAACCAGAAAAACAGAATAGATTATCTTTAAGATTCTTTACAATTTTATGAATTGATATACTTTTACCTCTCTAGTTATGATACTAAAACTTCGATTTGGTTAAAATGATATTGCTAAATTTTGACAGTTTGGACATAATTAAAGTATTCTACAATTTCAATTCGTATTCCTTATTTCACAAATTACAGTGGATAGATCCCATTGTGGAAAATGAGAAAAATGCTTTTTTTTTTTAAACAGCGGTTTAAATAGAAGGTGAAAATATTTTGTATTCCATAGATATTACTTGGAATTGATTCAAATTCCCATTCAACCTTGTGGCTCCTTCCAGAGTCATTGTCACATAGCTTTAAGAACTAGCTCTGAACTTGGAAGATACATAGGATTATGTAATTCATTAATCCTGCACATATTAATCCTGTGCATAAGATTGCCAGATTTAGCAAATAAAAATACAGAACACATAGTTAAATTTAAATTTCAGATAAATAATAATTTTTAGTATAGGTAATATTTGGGACATACTTATACTAAAAAATTAATTGTTGTTTATCTGAATTTCAAATTTCACTGAACATTCTGTATTTTATATGGCAACCTGACCTATGCAGAATTTTGAAAAAGAATTGGGAAATTTTCTGGACAGCATTATGTAAAGTATTACCAGATAATAAGTTCAGATAATTGCAAAAATTGAGTACATATAATTGGCTACAAGGAGAATTTTCGAATTCTAGCTTAAATTATTAGGTATTTCCTCCGTAAGTGGCAATATATTACAACATTATTATTATAAATTACTTTTTTAAGTCAAAAAACTGTGATTTACTTGATGAGATTTTCATTCTTTTTTTCCATGGAAAATGGCATTCTAGCAGAATTATTAAATAATTCCAAAAGTAGGGTGACTGCAGTGTTCATTAATTGACGGATGAGTTCCTGAAATATGTAATCAACCAGCATCAGAAATCTCAAAATTGTTTCTAATAAATCTCGATATTTAGGCAGCTTGAAATATTCTGTGTCATCTTCAGAGAGGTTTGACTCAAAATATTCTTTAAGGTCTTTCTTTTCTGCCACCTACAATTCAATAAACAATTGAGAGACAAGTGATGATTTCCTGTGTTACTGCAACGTGATTTCTAATTTATATTATTTTTATTAGTCTGAATAACATATTGGAACTAAATATTATCAAGCAAAAAGAAAACAACTCATATGTTCTGAAGACTATGAAGTTTGATGTCTCACTTACAAGCAGATAAGTTTATGGAACTCAAACAGGAAGTACACACTAACGAAGATCTGCGTGTTCCTATATAGAGGGACCCTCCTCAGATACACCTAGAGTTAGCAATGGGGGAGAGTCAAGTCTAAATAGAAGGTTTCCTAAAACCCAGTCCAGTGCTGTCTCCCTTACGCCAGGCTATAGCAACTAGACTTTTTTTTAACACATATATGCTACATAATACAAAATTAAGAAAAAATTTAAGTTCTTCAAATCTGATATTAGAGTTTTATTTTTTAGATAATATAATTATATCTCTTAAGACAACTGACTTACTAAGTTACTGAAGACTGGCGTATTTTGATCAAAATAGGTGGCATCAGTACTATTAATACCACTAAACACTTGTAAACTGTGCTCCTAAAAATAATCCTGGAATTACTCGAAATTGTTCCTTTTAGACACATAAACATTTTTTATTACTGATAGACCTTTAAAATTCCAAAAATATTTCTAATTTTTGTTCTTTTATTGGGTGTTCATGCTTTTAATTTTTTGCTCCATTGATACTTAAATACTTCGTAAATAGTCATCCTTCTCAACTTGTATTCTGATTTTTTAAAACATAATTGCATTAGTTTTTTATGTTGCCTCTCTTCACATTTCATTTATTCATGTTTTCCTTTTTAAAATTTAATTAGGTCAGTTGTTCACCAGTTTGGCAGGTTTTTTCCAGTACTGGCTGACGCTCTGGAGGAATGGTTTACCAACATGGTGCAGTTCCTGATCAATATGACAGTTGCTAAAGAAACTGTGCTAAAAAAAGACAGGGTAAGTTCTACACCAGTTACGGGCAGAGCCACATTGAGCCTGACATGCGGAATACTAAATTTATCAATAGGTTATGTTTTTATTGAAAAAGTTATGTTTTCCCAGGAGTGGCCACATGATTTGAAAAGATTATGTGCATAATGCATGGATTTTTAATTGGTAAAATGGTAAAGTAGTGCCTATTAACTATTCAAGACCATTTTAAATAGCTTAATAACTGTATCAGTACAAAAGTATATAAGAAATAGGCCTGGTAGTGCTGGTCTTTTTATTGAATATTGCTGAGGCTGATGGAGATTCTGGCATTTGATAAGCTTGCCTATTTTCTGCCATCACAGACTATATTTTGGGTCAGGCATATCTCAATTCTGACTCTAGGTTTACATCACTGATGGTAGCTCTCAGTTTCCATTCCATCAGTTCTATACCTGTGTTATATTCTTCCAGAGCGAGGAGTCCCAAGCATTGCCTAGAAGAATGCTTTTCAACCTAGCTGTACTGTAGATTCAGCTGAGGAGCTTTCATAGTGCTGCTTGGGCTCTACCATCAGAAATTCTGATTTAATTGGTCTAGGGTGGTCCCAGATATCAATATTTATTAAAAGCACCACACGTGATTCTAGTGTGCAGCCTATTTGAGAACCACTAGCTTATGGTTTAGCCAAAGAGTAGTCAGATATTTCAGGACGGTTTAAAAAATTTGTCCAAGATGGCAGAGTAGGAGACCCCCAGCCTCTGTCCCCGGACAAAGATCAAGAATTAGACAGCTGTCCACCAACAAAAACAGCTCTGGGAGAGCTCTAGAGTCCACTTAAGAGACTTCAGCAACACAGTGGAACAAAAGACCTGAGCACAGGTCTTTTTGTAAGCACAGCCACACAAAAAGAGAAAGAAGACAGCTTCAATTTGTCTGCATCATTCCATGCCTAGCAGGCATTGCTCAGTGCCAAGAGGGAACTCTCTAGCTAGAGAGAGCTCCTCTTGCCAGGAAAGAAAGAGTGGAGGGGGCAACCAGCTTCTCCAGACTTTAGGGCACTGCACAAAGGTCCAACTTTGATTTCAACCTGCTCCCACTGAGTAGCAAAGCTGAGCTCTACAGAGATGGCTAGAACAAGAAAGAAAAACAGGGACTGCTAATAGCAGCCATGCAGGAGGAGTGATCACGGTTCACAGTGTCCTGCTCAACAGACAAACACAGAAGTTTTTGCCACTGAAGAAGGAACCAAGGGCCAGCACAGCTGCTGCAGACCCCCATCAGATTCACCAGCTTTTGCCACACAGGTATTCATATTCACTGATGCCAGCTGCCTGATTCCTCCCCACTCCTTCCCTTACCCTGCCCCTGCCAGAGCCTGGGAACCACACCAGCAGCCAGCCCAGGCCTCTGTGGCTGTATGAGTGCAAGACACCAGCCTAGACCCCCATCGCTGACCCCCACCAACATGCATACGCCCACAGCTAGCCCCTCCAGCTGGCCACTGGCCTGACACCCCTCACCAAACTCCACTGCATGTGCATGCTTGGGGGGAAGACTCTGCAGTCATGGGAGAGCACACACGACAGCCAGGGCCCCCACAGCTGCTTGTGGGCCTGGATCAGACACTGTCTTTGGTCACTTGCCTGCACCACTTTGCTCACCTGCAGCTAGCCCCACCAGCTGAGTACCTTCATGCCCCTAGGCTGACCCCTGTACTGCCATGCACCTGTGGTGTGACCCAGCAGCCACAGTAGCATATGCTGATAGGCAGTTCTTAGCAGGTACCAGTGCATCCTCAGTTGGCCTGATCCTTGCTGCCTGCCCTGCCCTCACCACTATCTGTGTGTCTCCACTGGCCCCTGCCAGTATATAGGCACCTGCAGATAGCTCCAGCAGCCAGGGGTGTGCACACTACAAGTTCTGGCCACCACCACTTCCTGCCTTGGTCCCTAGCCATCGGACATGGAGCCACTGCTGAGGACCCCCAAGAGCTCTTGCATTTGGCACCCTGCACCACTAGACCTAGGGTCACAAGATGCTCCAGCATGCCCCACCCACAGGTGTAAGTGTTCCCTTACTGTAGTCAGTCCACAAAGTCTGGAAGAGGTGACTGCTTCTTCAAATGCACAGACACCTATGCAAGGCTACAGAGATCATGAAAATCAGGGAAACATGACACCACCAAAGGAATATAGTAAACCTCCAGTCACTGGCCCCAAAGAAATGGATATCCGGGAATTACCCAACAAAGAATTAAAAATAATTGTTCTAAAGATGCTCAGAGGGCTACAAGAGAACACAGATAAACAACTTAATGATATGAGGAAAACAATACAAACGAAATGAGATGCTCAACAAAGAGATAGAAAACATAAAAAAGAACCAAATAGAAATTTTGGAGCTAAAGAATACAATGACTGAATGAAGAATTCAACAGAGAGCTTCAACAACAGATTCCACCAAGAAGAAGAAAGAATAAGTGAGCTACAAGACAGATCAATTGAAATTATCCAGTCAGAGGAGAAAAAAGAAAAAGGAACGGAAAAGAGTGAAGAAATCCTAAGTAATCTATGGGATACCATCAAAAGAATCAATTTACCAATTATTTGAGTTCCAAAAGGAAAAGAGAGGAGGAAGGAGGTAGAAAGCTTATTTAAAGAAAATAGCTGAGAAATTCCCAAATCTGGGGAGCGATCTGCATTTCCAAGTTCATGAAGCTCACAGATCACCAAATAAAATTAACTTAAAGAGATCCTCTCCATGACACATGATAAAACTCAAAACTCAAAGATAAGGAGAGAATATTAGCAGCAGGAGAAGAAAAGCTTGTAACTTACAAGGGAACTCCCATAAGGCCATCAGCAGATTTCTAAGCAGAAACTTTACAGGCCAGGAGAGAGTGGGATGATATGTACAAAGAGCCAAAAAAAAAATTTGCCAAATAAGAGTACTTTACATGGCAAAGCTGTCCTTCAGAAATGAATGAGTGATAAAAGCTTTCCCAAACAAACAAAAGCTGAGGGAATTCATCACCACTAGACTTGCCTTATAAGAAATGCTGAGGGTTGGCCCCCTGGCTTAGTGGTTAAGTGTGCGTGCTCCGCTACTGGCAGCCTGGGTTTGGATCCCGGGCGCGCACCGAGGCACCGCTTCTCCAGCCGTGCTGAGGCCACGTCCCACATACAGCGACTAGAGGGATGTGCACCTATGACATACAACTATCTACTGGGGCTTTGGGGAAAAAAAGAAGGAGGATTGGCAATAGATGTTAGCTCAGAGCCAGTCTTCCTCAGCAAAAAGAGGAGGATTAGCATGGGTGTTAGCTCAGGGCTGATCTTCCTCACAAAAAAAAAAAAGAAAAGAAATGCTGAAAGGTGTTCTTCAAGCTGAAATAAAAAGATGCTAATTAGTAACACAAAAACACATGAAAATATACAACACACTGATAAAGGTAAGTATATAGTCAGATTCAGAATACTCTAAAAATGTGATATGGTGGAATGTTAACCAGATAACTCTAGCATAAAGGTTAAAGGACAAGAGTATTAAAAAGAACTATAGCTACAATAATTTGTTAACGGACATACAATATATAGAGAGGTAAATTATGACATCAAAAACATAAAAGGTGGGGAGAGTAAAATGGTAGAGTTTTTGTGTGTGATCAAAGTTATCAGTGTAAAATAGACTGTGATACCTAGAAGACGTTTTCTGTAAGCATCGCAGTAACCACAAAGCAAAAAGCTATAGTAGATTCACAAAATATAGAGAAAGGAATCAAAGCATACCACTATGGAAAATCATCAGTTTACAAAGGAAGGCGGAAAGAGAGGAAGAGAGGAACAGGGAATTATAAAACAGCCAGAAAACAATTAATAAGAGGGTATTAGTAAATCCTCACCTACCAATAGTTAATCTAAATGTAAATGGATTGAATTCTCTAATCAAAAGAGACTACTATGAACAATTATACACCAACAAATAATCTAGAAGAAATAGATAAAATTACTAGAAACATACACCCTACCACGTCTGAATTAAGAAGAACCAATAACAAGTAAGAAGACTGAAGCAAAAACCTCCCAACGAAGAAAAGCACAGGACCAGATGGTTCTCTGGTCAATTCCACCAAACATTTAAAGAATTAATGCCAGTTCTTCTCAAAATCTTCCAAGAACTTGAAGAGGAGGACACATGCCCTTCAAATTGAGTAGAGAAGGAACATACCTTAACATAATAAAGGCCATATATGACAAGCCCACAGCTAACATTATACTCAATGGTGAAAGGTTGAAAGCTTTTCCTCTAAGATGAGGAACAAGACAAGGGTGCCCACTCTCACCACTACTATCCAAAATAGTACTGGAAGCCCAGCCAAAGCAATCAGGCAAGAAAAACAAATAAAAGCATCCAAATCAGAAGGGAAGAAGTAAAATTGTCCTTGTTTGCAGATGATATGATCTTATATATAGAAAATCCTAAAGACTCCACCAAAAATGTTAGAACTAATAAACAAATTCAGTAAAGTTGCAGGTGCAAAATGTAAATTCTCAGGCTGTGCCTACTAAAACAGAAATCTCTTGTTTTACCAAGGATTCTAGGTGATTCTCTTGCCCACTAAAGCTTGAGAACCACTGTCCTTAGCATGTAAATATCAAATGTCATAACAAAATAGTAGAAGTAACATCAGTGCTTTGTAATGACAGTCACTCTGGAAATGGGGAAAGGGAGAACGTTCCCTGACTGACGTAGCCACGTGGGACCCAGCAACTCAGTGGTCTGTTGGGTAGATTAAAGAGCTATGTCAAAATAGGGCATGAACCTCTGTTTGAGAGATAACATCTAAAGGAAAAAAAAAAGCAACACAATCCTTTATTGATACTTCCATTCCCAATGTTAAGTCACATCCTTTTTTATTTGGACACATTCTCAGTTTTATGATCTTATCATCTTTATGAAATCCACATACTTTCATGGAGTGAATAGTTTTGGTGGATTTCAACAACAGGGTTGGCAGTGGGTCTAATAGGTTCTTATTTGAAATTGATTTAAGTGGAAAATCTCTTAACAAACATTTATGACCAGATCCTGGTGATGCTGAATGGGAGAAAGTAGAATGACTATGAGTAATATTTTACTTCTGTCTCAGTGGCCTAAGTTATATTTTGTTAATCCCTTTTTGATTTACCCCATCCTTGGCCAAACTGTCCCAGAGTCTGTCTACATATGACTGGGCTGAGGGAGGTTAGGACTATGAGGAATAAGATAAGGAATGAGAGGCTTTATTTCATTGACATAAAATAGCTACACTTCTTCTTCTTCTCAAGAAATAAAGCCTTGAAGTCACTGCTACCCGCTATCTATCAAAAGTTCAATTCAGAGAAATAATATTTGAAAATCATTTGAGGGAGACCCAGTCCATCTGTTCCTCCAGAGAGCTTCAAATATCCACCTGGATTCAGCCAAACCAGCAGAGAGAGGCAGCAAGTCCATAACTAAATGATATTGCATCAGTCCCTTATCAAACTGCATGTATGAATTATGCTTTCATGCATTGTCATTCCCGATAATAGGGACGCTGTCGAAAAGAATCCTGTGAAATGAGTCATAGCATATCAGATGAAAATGTTTTAAGGAGCTGTTCATTGTATTATTGAGTCCTTTTTATGAAAAGGACTCATTTAACTTTGTAACAAATCATAGTTCCCTTTATATGTCATCTCAAGTTTGATTTTAAGCATCCTGAAGGTATATATGTAGATATACATATATACGCATTTATATATATATATACACACACACACATACACATATATACTTATATACAGATGTGTCCCTATTTACGATTGACTTACAATTTTTTGACTTTATGATGGTGTGAAAGCAATATGCATTCAGTAGAAACCATGCTTCAAATTTTGAATTTTTATCTTTTCCCAGGCTAGCAATATGGGGTACAATAGTCTCTTGCGATGCTGGCTAGTGACAGCTTCCAGTCAGCCACGTGATCATGAGGGTGAACAACTGATATACCTACAACCATTCTGTACCCAGACAACCATTCTGTTTTTCACTTTCAGTACAGCATTCAATAAATTACCTGAGATATTCAACACTTTATTACAAAATAGGCTTTGTGTTAGATGATTTTGCCCAACTGTAGGCTGACATAAGTGTTCTGAGCACTATACACCAGACTGAGCTAAGCTATGATGTTTGGTAGATTAAGTGTATTAAAAGAATTTTTGATTTAGGATATTTTCAATTTAGGTTTATCAAGATGTAACCCCATTGTAAGTTGAAGAAGATCTGTACATATATATTTGTATTCTACACAGCACTTGGAAAAATTCTTGTGCCTAGTAAATGCAGTACTACCTGGTTGGCTAATAAATCACCTTGGTCCCTCTACCTGCCCATTTCCAACACTTTTTCCAGGGATGCAATTTGGCGCCATTGCTTTAGTCAGTACATAAAAACTGATAGAGAAGATATAATTAAAGAATTACCTTTAAAACTGTACTTTTTATTTCTGAAATAACTTTACCCCTGATATTCTCAAGTTGTTTCAACGCCTGCATAGCTTGCTGTAACTGTTCTTCGCAAAATTCATCTAGAGAATATGTTCGAGACCCATCCAGCTAATTAAATGATAGTAAACGTTAGTGCTGGAAAGTCAAAATTCATTTACAAAAGAAAAGATATAAAATATTTTGGTCATCTTGCCACATCATAAAGAGGAGCATACTTTATACTTTCTTATGTATACATCATGCTTTATATACTATATGCCGCATACGTTCTTCAAATTCAAACACCCATATTAAATCTAACTAAATCTTGATAAAAGACAGAAAAATACATTATTATTTTAATTGTAACAAAGATTAAGCCAAAGGAGAGAAATTCAAGAGTTGATGTACTTTTGAATATCTATGAACCCAGGGGAACCACCAATCCCAGAAATTGCTTTTGCTTTTGAAGTTTCAATTATTTGTAAAACTTAAAAACATGAACACTAAATGTAGGATGAAGAGGCTAAAATTAAATAACCCAAATAAAGTAAATTTTATTTTGAATTCATTTGGAATCCACCCTGGAGAAATTTCCATCGACTATGCTATTGAACGTCCCTCTGGTAATACAGAAACAGAATGTTTCATCCATTCGTGTGTATCCCATCACTCTTCCTCCTTCCAGTATGTGTTTGTTTTTCATACATCATGTTAATTCTCTTGCCAAAATACATTTTTATCAGTAAATATACAGACATCTTTATCCCTAGTTGTACTATAATGCTTTATACATGTATGCTTCCAAAAATAAAAAAAGATTGGCAAGTACTGCTCTAGTCTTAAAATTTTGGATTAATTCTTTGTGTTCTCCTTCTTCTTGTCCCACATCTGTTTACCAGGTCCTGATTTTTCCAGTAAAGTATGTCTCAAAATCTGCCTTCCTTTCTGATCTCACTGCCAACATCCTAACTGAAGTCCTTATTGCTTCCATCCGCATTATTCCAGTACTATACTGACCAATCTCTTTGTCTGTATCTCCTCACTTTCAATTTTTCCCACTAACCAACATCACATTAATTTTCCTAAAATAACATGCTCAGAAACTTTCAGTAGTTGTTCTTTAAGAATAGTTCTCAAAGTTTACTCTGCATAAGAATCACCCGAGGGACTTGTTAAAAATGTAGATTACTAGCACCACTCAATGCCCCCTCCCCCAAAAGGCATGGAACACAAAAATTTACATTTTTATTAAGCACTCAAAATACTGCCCAAAAAACACAATCATTCTTGAATAGGAAACATTATCAAAAGTCCCAACTCTTTAGCTGGTTCTGTGGCCCTGGATAAGTCACAATCTCTCTAGGACTTAGTTTGTCATTTGAAAGTGAAGGTTTGGGTAACATGATCCACATATATTCTTTCCCTTCTAGTTCTAGACATTCCAGCCCTTTAAAGGTGCACTTTCATCCCAGCAGAGTACACTGGCGCACTCGTGAACTCCGTTCATGGCATTAACTGCTGAACAATCCCATCGCATGCATTCATAACCTTGCTTCATTCCCTGTATCTCCTCATCATCAATCCTCATTGGCGTCTGCGTCCCCAGTTATGCATAGCCCCCCAGTCCTAATGCACAGTTGGCCACCTTCGGATTCCTGATCCCAGGCTCCGTTCTCCTGGCTATGAATCTCTGTTCTCCCTTCATTTGACCCTGGCTTCTCCACAGTCTCAGAAACTCCCGCTCTTGCAAACCATCCTCACAACAACCCCCACTAGGAGTGCCCCTGCCCTAGGGCAGGTTCAGCTCCTACTTTTCTCTTATTCTGTGATTCTTGGCCAGACATTCATGACCCAACCTAACTTTCAAATCAAACATATATTGAATGTTTTACTCATGTTCATATTCCTTACTTAACTGCCCTATCCCCTCCTCGCTGGCTATTCAAATCCAGATGGCCTAGCTGGTAATATCCTTCCTTCCTCAAACATGCCCTATCTTGAACTCCAAAGAAGGCTAATCTCTGCTTCCTCTGAATATCTGTGACATGACTGTTTTACAAGTATTATGTGCCAGTGAAGATTCTTTGCCTTATATTTTACTACTTGGTGAGCTAAAATGATTAGCAAAACTCAGGGACTACCTCTGGAATTAGTTATTATTTTTATATGTAAAGAATTATCTCTTCCAGTAAATGGTAAGTAGATTGAAAATAGCAATGCTTCGTTTTTAACTTTGTATTCATCTCCTTTGCACAGCACTTTGCATATAACAGATAATTAAAAAATATTTATATATTGTCTAGAAAGGTTTGTTCCCGTCCTCTTGACGTTCTGGGGAAAAGCTGATACGGCCTAAGGTCTCCAGAAGAGTCCTAAGATCCCTTTTCTGTCACTCTTAGCATTACCATCCACTAGCATTTTAGGTGTAGACTTCAGAGATATTCTAAAGTGTCCTTTGCCTCACTGCCCTTCATTAAGTTAATTGATAAATCCTTTCATTCAGCCATTCATAAAACAATTTAATATCACAGATTTCCTTCCACATTAAAACCATATCAAAAATACTCTTCCATGAAATGTCTCCTATTTAACTTGAATTTAATGCTTTTGAAACATTAATATTCTCATATAACTATACAAAATATACTTCATCTGTAGTGATTAATTCATCTTTCTTCATTAATTAATTCTTTAATTTATTCATTCACTCAAAGACTATTTACTGAGCACCTACTACGTATCAGTCGCTATACACAATCAATTCTAAAAACAAGCTGTTGATTTATAAATATTAATCTTATTACGTGTGTACAGTAAAAACAACTAATTTTTGAGCCAAATGTCAAATTTATAGTTTGTCCAAACCCTTTTAGTCCTTCTCTAAGCCTAGCTGACTATCAACTTTACTTCCAGTCTCTCCCGCACACAGTGGGTAAGGGAAGTAAAAGCTGCTCGAATCATGTCCAATTGTATATTAACCACTTAAAATTTATACTTCTATGTACTTAACCTCTTTAAAAGAACTAGTCTATATAAATTAAATTAAATCATTCATTGAGAAAGTCACTCTTTCTTAATTGTGGAACAGGAGAATTCACAAATTTAACCAAAACCTTTGAGTTGCAACTTAATGACAATTTCTTGACAGGCAATACTGAGGGAAGAATAGCTGGTAACTATCAACTATGTATCAGAGATAATTGATTATTTATAAGTAATATTGCATATTTAGAGTTTTGAAAATAAAGAAAGAGCCTCATAACTTGGACTAAGTGTAAGGAAGAAATTATTTATAAGGAATGTTGTTAACTATTAAAATTGACTACCCAAGGGAATAAGGTTCTTTGCAGGTATTTTAGAACATCAGTCATCCATAGGGATGGTTTACTCATAGATCTAGAAATCTGTATTTCTTTGATTCAAAACTGCATTTGTTCTACCTAGTTTCTATATACCAATATTAGCTTATAGCAGTAAACGTTGACCTACCTTTACAAGGCATATGGCAGATGGATTATCTTCCTGTTCATTACCTTTTTTGAGACTAATCGCATCTTCACAAAGTCCCTTTATATAAAGCAAACAGCCTTGAAATAACTCATCAGCCCCAAAAAGATGGCGGGACAAAAATGACCTGAAAGTTAAAAAATTTCCACAAACTTATCTCTCATTCAAAATGAATAAAATTAATTTAGAGATAACTACTATAATTTGTTTCAAATGCCTATAGTTAACATGTATTACATCTACCACATTTTAAATGACGTGGATAAATATTAGTAAGCATTTGTTTCACTGATAATGTCAAAGGCAAGGTTTTGGTACTGGGTGTTTTGGGTAAGAACAAAATAGGAGAGGGAAACAAGTGATGATGTTATTCTGTTATGCCACTGAGTTCTAATAATTTTGAAATAGTAGGCAGTGATATCCAAAAGGAATTATATTTCCCCTATTTATTAAATTTAAATAAATTTTCTCAGTTTACTTTTCCCCAAATTACAGGAAAAAAAATTAACTAGATTAGGAACCATTTGGAGAATGTTTCTTAAATTCTCCAACCACCTATATCCTAAAATAGAGAAGAGGAGCCCTTTTCTTCTCTCTGCCCCTTTCTAGTGGTCTGATGATGGTCACAAAGGTGAGACAAATCACTGCTAACAACACTGGAAAGAATAGAAGGACAGAATTGTAGGAGAAAAGAGCAGGGTGGAAGAGATGAGACTTCTTGAAAACTGGATAAAGGAAAGCAAATATCCCTGTGCAACTGTGTACACAGACGAGAGGGGGTCTTCTGCCCTTCCTTAATCCCTTGTGGAGTGGCTGATTTCTACAGGTTGTCAAACTCACAACATACAAAAAAATGTAATGATCAGAAATTAGCTTTTTCTGTCTTTCCATTTTACAGAAGGAAAGCTTTATAGACCATGAAGCTAGTGAAGCTTAAGCTTCATGGGTCCTTTATTTTCACTGTCCCTTTCAAAGCCTTGTGTCATTTATCTTAAAGAAGACCTCAAATTATATAGGCTTCACATAACATGGAACTACTCCTGGATGTAGGATTTGTTCATTGACATTCCTCTAAGTATCTAGTACAGGGAGGAAGAGAGATCACACTAAAGACAAGTGGCACATTCCAGAAAGTAAAACATCACAAAAAGCACACCCACTCTTGGAATTTATTAATAAGAGAATGATGATCAAAATTCAGGTAGTAATGGACTCATGTTACTGAGCATTGTTTAAAACTTTCTTTTTTTCCTTTTTAAAAAATGTATTCAATTTGTTTGCATATTTTAACACAGATATGAGGAAAATAGGGAGGGTGCATTATAAAAATAATTATAGGCACGGAAAGCATGAAGAAATTTAGAGTTGTAATGGCGAGATCTGACAAGAGCAAAATAATGCATCAATTGATGACTGAGTATAGGTGTTATGAGGAACTCACCAACAAATTTCCATTCTATTGTACTAGAAAATTCTTTAACACATTCTCCAAAACTTGACTCACACACAAGATAGAACTGGTTGGCATTAGACAACATTTCACAGAAGTCTATTAAAGCTCAAGACCTGCCTTCTAGGCAAATGGAGTAAACGTACTTTTCACTATTCTTCCCACTAGGTACAACTAAAAACTCTGGATATTATATATATAAAGCAAACATAAGAAGGCACTGAAAGGTAGAGAAGAGAAGGTGAACTGGCTAGGAATAGCAGGGTGGTAAGCTCCCTGGGTTTTTTCTTGCCTTATATATCCCAGACTTGGAGTTGAAGAAACCAGCAACCTGAAAATGCCAACAGGTGCAGACAAAAAAGCCTGCTGTCTAGCTAAAGGACCAGGAAAGGGGCAGCCTAGCAAGACAGAAAACTTTTAAACAATGACCATTCTACTCCATCCAAATACCGTAGGGAAGACAGAGGCCACAGGGAGAACCTCGAGTTCCACCCTTGGCAAAGCCATAATGAGCACATCAAGCGCCCCCTGGGGGGTTTTCAGGGAAAGCTGCGTAGGGAGCTGAGACTTTCATCTTTACTGGGTGGTAACAAGCAAAGAAACAGAAAGTAAAACAAGGAAATAGAAGGCATAAAGAAGACCCAAATGGAAATTTTAGAACTGAAAAACATAATGACTGAAATAAAAAACTCAATGGATGGGCTTAAAAGCAAAATGGCAAAACAGGGAAACAAATCAGTGAACTGGAAGACAGAACAACAGAAATTATCCAATCTGAACAACAGAGAAAAAATAGACTGAGAAAAATGAACAGACCCTCAGGGACCAGTGGGACTCTAAAAAAGATCTAGCATTTGTGACTACAGTCTTAGAAGGAGAGGAGAAAGAGGGCAGGGCTGAAAAAATACTTAAAGAAATATGGATGAAATTGTACCAAATTTGTTAAAAGATACACAAACATAGAGATTCAAGAAGTCAGGGTAACCTAAAACAGAATAAAGACAAAGAAGTCCACACCAAGACATATCAAGGCAAACTTCTGAAAACTAAAGACAAAAGAAGAAATCTTGAAAGCTGCAAGAGAAAAACATCTATAGGAGAAAAACAACTGGAAAGACCATAGAGGTCAGAAAAAAGTGGCACAGATTTTTCAAACACTGAAAGGAAATAACTGTCAACTCAGAATCCTATATCCAGCAAAAATATTCTTTAATGAAGGAGAAATCGAGACATTTCTGGATAAAGGAAAAGTAAGAGAATATGTTGCCAGCAGACCTACCCTAAAAGAATGGCTACAGGAAGTTCTCCAAACAGAAATTTAAAAAAACAATAGAAGAAGGAAACCTGAAACATCAAAAGGAAAGCCAGAACATGATAAACAAACCAAACTGAATACATTTTTACAAAATGTATAGATTATCCTTCTCTTGAGTTTTATAAATTATGTTAGATGATGGAAGCAAAAATTATAACACTGATATAGTGCCACATGTAAGTGGAGGAAATAGTTAAGACAATTATATCATAAATGGGGAAGGAGAAAGGGACATAAAGGTAAGGTTTCTATGATTCACTCAAACTAATAAAATGACGACACTGGTAGACTGTATAAGTTATGTCTATATTATGTTATACCAACAGCAACCAATAAAAAGCTACACAAAAGATTCATTCAAAAATACTATAGATAAATCCAAATGGAATTCTAAAAAATTGTTCCAGTACACATAGGAAGGCAGGAAGAAGAAAACAAACAAAAGGCAGAGAGAACAAACAGAAACCAAAAAATAAAATGGCAAACTTCAGTCCTAATGTAAATGGTGTAAATACACCAATTAAAAGACAGAGATCAGCAGATGGATTTTAAAACCTGACCTAACCATGTGCTGTCTACAAGAAAGTATGGCCAGCGGCAACCCCCCTTTCTGGCAACCCTTCATCCCCATCGCTTGCTCCATCCACCCCTGCAGCAAAGGGCATCACTTTAACAAGGGGGAGGCGTTGAGAGACAGTGCAGATCTCCCCCATTAAAGCCCACCCATGGCAGGAAAGTAGTGAGGCCACAGAGTTACTTTGTAGTTTCAAGGAGCAAGTTAACTACTAGCCTAATGCCTGGCATGTAGTAGATGCTAAAGAGATAATCTTGAATTAAAAAAAAGACAAGCCGGAGAGACGTCAAGATGGTGGCGTAGGCAGACTCTGAACTCACCTCCTCCCGCGGACACAGCCAATTTACAACTACTCATGGAAAAATTACCCCTGAGACAGAACTGAAAACTGGATAAGAGGAACTCCTACAACAACGGACAATCCTAATTGAGGTGGAAGAGGCAGAAACTCCCTTCTGGAGAGGAAAAACGCCGCCTTCACAAGCTGCCAGCTTCACGGCCACCCGGGAGCAGCCCACAGGTATGCAGCCTCCCTGGAGGAGCGGGGCCCTGAGCCAGGGAGCGCCCCCGCTGTGGGCATTTTGTGGACCCAGCACAATCGAGATGGGTGGCATAATATCTGACTTTGCCTGCTACTAAAACATTGGGGAGTACCCCCAGAAAACCCAGTTCACAAAGACATTAAAACTGGCTCTTAAAGGGCCCATGTGCAAACTCACCCATTTCAGAAAGCAACCTAAAATCACCAGAAAGAAAGGTGCACAGTGCTTTGGTGAAAAGAGACTCACCTAATAGGCCCTGCGTGCATCTCGGTGAGGGGTGAGACCTCTCCAGGGACTGGGACATTGGCGGCGGCCATTGTTGTGGCCTGGTGT